ATATATAAAATTTATTTGTACGTATGGAATTTAGATAGATACACATAGATGGACAAATCTAATGATACGTCTATTTAGTAGTGACATTGTTTAGTGCTCAGACAACGATGCCATATGCAAATTGTTGATCCAATGAGCATTGTTCGATCGTTTTCGCCCATTGATTTCTTTCTCATATACAACGCTTCTTATGAGCGAACAATCGTTGTCATTCTCGAACAACGCTAACGGCAATTTAGTGAAAGAAGTCTAAACACCCCCCATCTCTACGTACTCCCCATGTTCAATAGTATGCGGTAACTGACAGCTGTGATTATTGGTTAACAGGAACAATAATATTGAAAATTAATTTTTCATCTTGATTCACACTCGGCTTAATTAACTTAACGAACGAAAACATCCCAACAAGGCTGCATTGAGTGCTCACCTAAACTATTTGCTTCCTATTTGCTTTCCGTCTCGACACACCACTCACTTTGATGTTTCATTGCTGTAAACAACGTTTCATGCAACACTAAAGACCAGTTTGCGTATCAATTCTTTCACATCACGTGTGCGTGTGTGACATTCCGTACGTTTGCTGCTCATATCTGACTCTCATCGTTCTATGAAAACCACCTATTCTTCCCACAAATCGACGGAATAATATCCATCCAGTTCAGCAATCGTTACTGCATTCAAACAAACAGCGTTACTATCCAGCATTCCGTTTCACGTCCAACCTATTTAAAACGCTGTTATACCAATCGAATATTCATTTCAATCACTGAACATTTTTCGCTTTATTTGTTCACAAGTTTCTTGATTTCTTTGAACGTAATGAACTTCTGATGTTCACCATCTAGAAATATCCGATGTCACAATTCGCAAATTTTTCGTGTTCGTCTATCCATTCACCGATTCTTCTGTCCATGTACGACATTTGCAAACGTTGCTTGCTTGTATAGTACATTTTCAGTTGACTTTTAGGTTTTTTAACCGTTGTTTCGATCATCCGAGAAAAATTCTATTAGTCCTTTTTCGTGTTTTCTCGTAAATGACATAAGGTTTATGCACTTAACAATTTTGCATTGAATATCATCATATTTCTAGTTTCCAGTAGCATTTTCTGCATTGATAAATTGGTTGAAGAGCCAGCTGCATGATTCTTAAAGACTATAAATTTCTGTTCTCAGAATCTAAATAATCGAACAATTTCAGTTACATTTAAACATCCGATAAATGACGCACATCATCAAAACTAAGACGAACGATTGAATTTGAGGGTATCGTTTACCAGTTCACGAAGTCTAATTTCAATGAACTCTGTTGTACGTTATCAATGTTAACAGGCTCAATATGACTACAAATAATTGTCAACATTATATGAGCACCAATCACATGAGATGTTTCGCTTTAAAATAGAGTCAGATATATAACTTCGCTCACTTATGATCATTTGTTTAGCGTATCATTGTGTGTCTGGTAAAAACTCTGTCGAATTCATAGAAGTAGTAAACATCAAACATTTTAACTGTTTAAAGTTAAGTGTTGAGTAGTTTTCGTTGAGAGCCGTTCTAAGCTGAACGATGTTACTGTAGCCATATCGTAGACCTAAGCAAAGCGATCTGTTGAATACATGGTTGCAAAATGTGTAGAATATAAGACGTGCAAAAATTGATTCCGTTCGGATCGATTTAAGCGGAGTTTGTGCACATCCACGAACTTGTTCCTGATGTAAACTCCATTTCATCAGCCAACTCACATAACCCAAAATTTAACAGAATGAGAATTAATTTTATTGGAAAAGTGGTTAAATCTTGAAGTAATTCTAGTTGATAAATATGAATGAAATGGTCTCGCAAGAATCTAACGTTGTGTTGAATCGTTTTTATTTATAGTTTGTGATGTGGGCATCTTTTCGTTTTTTTTTAATCATGTTCCAGCACTCACTAATGGATAATGTTGACCTTTATGATAAGAGCACCACATAACATAACAAATTTTATCAATACACCGATAATCTCTTGCTTAAAAGTCATCGATTCCCACTACATACGATTAACACAAATCAAACTGTTTAGTTATTTCCTATTAGTTAACAACCACCGCAAATGTCCTATTAATATACTCACAACTAGCTGGATTAGCTATGCTTTCCGATGATAAGATTCAAAAGTTGTTAGCATTCCTAAGTATTCTTTTTTAAAAATTTTTTCAAAATTTCTAAATATTTATTTCTTAAATATTTCTTTATAAAGTAAATTTAAAGCGAAAATAAGTATTTATAAGAAAAGATTTCTAAAAAATTTTCACTCTGCCAGGATTGTTATTCTTGCGAAGTGATCATCGCCTAAAAAGAGTTTCTGAATGATAAGTTTCGATTTTGAAGCTTCATGCCTTGTCTCATTGTCAGTGAGCATCTAAAATGGAAGCATTTCGGTTCTGCACAAGCAATTAACCCATCACTGAAAGACAACGTCAGCACCTCACTCTCTCCACATTGCCGTATTCGTATATGGATCAGTTTTACAATAATATAAAAATGAAGTAATATGTGGACAGTTTTATTATTTGTTAGAAGTTTTTCTTCTTTTAGTTCGTCAGATGTTCGTTCATTGTGCAAGTATAGATTCAGTTATTATTTCATTTGATATTTTGCGATTATTTCATTTTTTTTGTCTTCTATTGCACTATTGTGTACAGTACAACGCCTGTTGATTGATGTATAATCGTAATGTGCTGATATTGGGCTAATGAAAAGCAGCACTATTGATGTTTGTGTGTTCTGGTTTTGCTTACTAAAACTTCTTGCTCATGTGACAATGATGAACGGTCTGTCTAACGTCAGCTTAAACGAGTGTAAATAAGAAAAAAGCTTCAGCAACGCCGTCATCAAACAAACGCTACATCTTTCCAATTACGATGTCGCCCTCTCAAGTCCCACATCATGCCACTTCGTTTTGCGCTTGTCAGTGTTCCTTCCAGTTTGTCTGATGCAAAAAAAAATTGTTGTGTTGTAAAATAAGTTCAAAACCTTTTTTTTACCTTCAACGAAAGCTTATTTGGCCAAATTCAGTGGCAGCAGGCATCAGTGATTGTTGCATAGAGTGCACACTTGAAATTTTTGAAACCATGAAGTTTGTGATCTGAAACAAAAATTTATTCGTATTTGTATTAGGTTCTTTTGTGCATGATTTTCGAATTATTATTGATATATGCAAGTGTTCAGCTATTTTAGCACGATGATTTTTGGTTCGTCTTTTCTTTTTAGTTGTCTGTTGCAATCGTAAACAGCAATTTCACTCATATGCTCATTATACATATGCTGCGTTGTAATGACGAAACACTTTGAAAGCGTTCTTTCTTTTCTTCTTGAGCAATTGATGATCGTGTCGGTTCTGTTTTGGAACATTCACAATTGTGTTCTTGTATGGAAGAAGAGGTTATTTGGTGGTGAACATTTCATAACGTCAAAAATTTGTTAAAAGTTTTTATTTATTGGTATTACTTAATCTTCCATAATTCCGATATTGATCGAGATCATTTGATGCAGTACTAAAGTACTGTTTTTTTTTTAAATTGTATTTAGAATGACAAATTTGCAAGATTTTTTACCGAAAGTTGTTCGCTGAATAAATTTTCAAAGAACTATTAGAATGGTTCTTCATTCGTTCATTTCACATCATACCCTCATGGAATTGTTTGCGTGTATTCATGAGAAGCAACTCAAGAGAGGATTGTGTTTGTGTGTAGTGAACGTTGCGACAGTCGTAATGGATTTGATGAGAGACTACTTTGAATTGATATTATGCAGTTTGTAATTATCGACAATAATTTGTGCTCTTTCATCTAACTAATAACTATAAAACGAAGATAACACATCATATTCTGTTTAGAAAATAATTGTTTCAACGATTTATAACATCACTTGTGTATATTATGGTTGATGTCTGTGTGCTATCTGCTCTATCAATAATCACTTTATCAATCTATGCATCTCTCGCTGTATCATTTCATATTTCATTCGAAAATGAAGTGGCCGATCGGTCGATCGTTAGAATGTTGTCAACAAGAAATTGTTCATTACGAAGCAAAAAAGTCATATCATCATCGTGTGAACACGCAATATTTCTAGTCAAGCATCATGCATACACTAAGCAGTGCATGTTGACGAACTGTTACAAAAATCTATAGAGCTCTTCAGCAAATTCAGCCGTTTACTTATGGCAACCCGTGTTTATGTCGTTCCCGAACCATGCACATTGCATTAGATTTCAGTTTATTTGCTTTGGAATTCATGCGGCTTCTGTTCTCAATCACATAACGAACTTATACGAAAATTCATAACATTTTAAGTCATACTTTAACTCATAGCACTATGTGCTTGTATATTTTTAGCCTGTCACTTTGCCATAGAACGCAAATAAATCGTAAACGAACCCGAGGTTCATCGTGATGCGTCGTTTTGCATTATACCTTTGAGTTTGTTCACGTTACATTGTCATGAAATTTGCTGTGAAATTATTTTCGACAGCGCTTACAAAAGTTTCATAAGCATGATCACACCATACGAGTAATCTAAGTTTATGTTTGTGCAGTTATCACAGAATAGTATATCAAAATGTGGGTTTCGTGAAAATGTTGATTCGAGGTCATGTATTTCGTATGCGCTCATCGTATAAAGAGTTGAACCCACGAAATGTTTCAGAATATTTCAGTGTACCACTTTTGAGAAATCCAACAAAATGTCCGCTGAAGAACTTGAAGTAAGTATTCGTTTGAGTTTTTTCTTTGTCTTTTTTCAGCGTTTTGTTTTTCGTGATCTTAATAAGTAGCCGATAGTCGATACTTTTTTCGATATTGCATTCATACATGAAGTAACATTTGAATAGGTATATGACTTCAAGCATTCGCACAGCTAGGCATTCATAATCGAAGAAGACCCGACCTGACGAGAAAGGTGCTCTAGCCAAGCGAAGTCCATCCTTTCGCAGCTCAGTATTGCAGAACCACTTGTCTGCTTTATTTGACGGGCAGTAAGCATGGCTCTTCGGGACTAGACTTGTGTCTGCGGATGAAAAAATAGTTTTATGTCAATGACTGCAGACAGTAGTTTAACTAGGATTTTGCGAGCGGGGAATGGGAGAGAGGGGTGGGGCGCAATATGGTCTGTTCTAGCGTTTGGGGTTTGGACCAATCCTCTCCTACAATTACGCTCATATGGGGCTTCCATTTTCAGAAAATATCCACACTCGCGAGGCCCATACGAGCCCCCTCAATGGGCCATGTAAAACTCGTATGAGTAAAAGAACAGTAATTCATCGCCATAACTCAGTTCATCGATAATTATGACAAACTTTGCTTGTACATGTCACAAGCAGTGATGTCCAGTCTCTGGGATCAGAATACTTTTTGTGGCTTCCTCAATAATAAAAAAATATCACAGCAATATTCAGTGGTTGAAGCTGAGATCTGCGCGATAATTTTTCTCTGCTCCGGATTGATTCAGAACTCAAGCCAAAGTAAAGCGAAGTAAATTTCGGAGCTGGAGCCTTAGCCAGGGCCAAAACTTTTAAAAATACGGAGCCAGAACTGGAACCGGGGTCCGAGACCAATTTTCTAAAAATATGGAGCAGGGGCTGGAGCCAAACTCTCAGAACTGTGGAGCCAAAGCTGAATCAATTTGAGCATCGCTGATTCTGAATTTTTAATTCACAAACCACCGCACATCAAATTATTCAGTTGCCCAGACAATTCCAAGTAACGATAATACAACAGTCAGGTTTTTCGCTCTCGTCCGGTGAATGTTCGTCCTTTGACGACGAAAAATCTGAGTCCTTTATGGTCACAACTCGTGCCTCGAAGTAGTCCTCAATGCCATTTTCGAAAAAGTATTTCAAAAATTTGTATCCCTTAAGTCACAAAGATTGACTGGCGGCCCCTGCAAGAGATTCAGAATTCTCCGCTACCAAGGGAGACTCTATTGAAGGAGTCGCCTTGCAGGTGCACCTGCTGGGACTAGAAATCTGTAGGCTATGTGATTCATCAGAGATCATTACGCCTCCTTTTCATGTACGATCTCCTGTGGAGGCCCCATTCCGATCACTAGTCTAATCCCAAAAAACGGCTTTTGCAACGGTAGCCAAAATTCGTTAACGCTGAAACTTGACCGAGCTGATCTAGAAAAGCGACCTCAATTTTGACTAGGGCAGGTTGTGAGTTGCATTTAAACAAAGGCTCAGGCTTAGGTTCATGCCCAGACTCACGCTTAAACCTGCTACAGGTTTAGAAGGAAAAAACAATGCCTACAACTCGACGTGGTGCATTATGTGTAATTAGGTAACCGAAATCTAGCGCTGCCGTTTGCGCAACGTCTGTAACTGTAAAATGAGTCATGACTGTAAGCCACTTAAGTGATTCTTTCCTTTCCATTTCCTCCTCTTTTCCCTTTATTCCTCCTCCTTTTCCCTATCCTTTTTTTGTCTAGGAAGGAGAGGCAAGGGGAGGGGAGTGGTCGCACACTTCTTCTGCGCCCCTCCCTCCTGGCTACGCCACTGACTGCACGGATACTTTTTTGATTGTTTTATGAATATGAGCATGAAAGAAGATTAGAAATGGTCATGTTAATGAGGTAAGAAAGTTTGTTGACGAATTGGGATGGGAAATATTTGATTGATCGATTTTGCAATCATAGAAATGCTTGGTTTTGTTTAAAGATATCTTATCACAAAATACAAAGCATGACAAAAAGTACAATTTAGATGATTTCGATTCAAACGCCTAAATGCGGTTTTATTCACGTTTATGTGCAAGGCAATCTGGATGATCGGAATGGTAAAACCACGTTTCTTACAGTGCATGATGTCGGCACTAACTGTATGTTTCATTGATCCTAAATTCTTGAATTTTTGCTTTCGAAAACGATCCTACGAGTAATATGTCTTGTGGATAGCGGAGCTGTAGACTGATAACTGGCCTCAGACTAAGATTCATTTCATTTTCTCAAATGCGCCGAAGGTTTGTATTATCGTCGATGAGCATGCACTGTCCTCGGTCGAACTACGATATTTCACACTTATGATCAAAAAATTTAAATGATGAGTAACAGATACGGCCAGTGTCCTCCAAAACAAAAACAATCGAATACGAAATGTTGACCGGATTGGAACGATAGAGATAGTGGTAGGGAAGATTAAAGTAGAGATAAAAAATGTGTTTGGGGAGTGATAAAGGCTGGTACTCTATATGCTGCTGTTGATTATAGCTATCATATTAATGAGAATGATAGCTTAGAGTATCGAATTGATGCTGTTAACTGCAAAACTTCAGAATGCTTGGAATTTTGATAAGAGACTACCACTATCGTTGCGTTCATCCTTTTTCCTTATCCGATTACGTTTAACAGTTATGTCATTAATATCGTTATCCTGCTCATTAAGTAGTCACTTCTTCATTCGGATGTCGTCTGCTCCAGCTAATTAGATTTAATTATTGTCTAACTGGATGACGGTTCAATCAGGTTGCGTATTACTTCAGTACGCAGTTCTGAAAAGCGTTTAGTCAGAATTAAAGAAGTCTCGATTCACGATTACTTTCCAGTTACGTTCGGAAGTTGAGGTGACGGTGCTGAATAATAAAGAATAAGGCATATCGTCAGTACTGCATAAAACACGATCCTAAGTAAATTCTTGTTTTCGAATCTATGCAAAACGAATTCAAAATTGTTGTATTGTTGAGTGATGAATATAAGCTTTGCAGATAAGACGTTCGTAAGATTTTGCAATCACCCATCAATGGCTGATGTTAAGGCAAAATCAATTTTTTTGCACGTATGCATTCCCGGACAGGAAGATAATGCACCAGATTTTGTGGGAGAGTAAGTTTAGCGTTATTTGGTTATTTTGTCGGTCGTATGACCAAATTTTTAAAATCAAAAATGAGATTTTAAGAAAATACCGAAATTATTGTTCGTGCTTTGAATTCATTTTTATGCTCCTGACTGTTTTTTTTTNTTTTTTTTTAAATTATCTTTTGGTTAATCCCTAGTTTATATTTTGCGAGTCACTCCTTTCGAGGGGCTACTCCCTCAAAAGAAAATCTGTATTGCTCACCTCTAAAAGTGCTTCAATCTGAAGTGTCAGCGTTGTTGAGTTCTTCGTTGCTCACTAAGCAAAAGCATCAGTTTAATTATCTAGCTGATTGTGAACAACAACGCAACCAAATTCTTCGCTTGGTTTTATACTGATGAATTTTGCATATCCAACTGCATTTTATTCGAATTGAAGTTGACAAGCTAATCATTGTGTAGATTTCCAACGTTGGCACAACTTGGTGAAGATTTGGTTTGCGTGCTGGATAAACTCGATATCAAAACGTGCGTCGCTTTCGGAGAGGGCGCTGGAGCGAATATTGTCTGTCGATTTGCGGTAAAAATTGAATTGAATTTTCAAAATTCATGTGAGCATTTTGTCTCGAATAGATTTTCCACGAAATTGATTACTTGATCCAGTGTTGTGATTTTATTCAATTCAGCGATCTCACGTAGTTTTTTTTTTTTTGAAATTCACCAATTCGCTCAGACATGTCAACATCATTTTGTAAGAATGGGAATCAAATAATATTTGACTACGACCAATAAGTGAAAATAAGTATTTGCAATTGATTATTACATTGGAGATCTGAAATATTTCAGATGTCGTCACCGAATCGTATTATGGGGATTTGTCTCGTTCACTGTACATCAACCACTGCTGGAATTCTTGAGTACTGTAAAGACAAGGTATTGAGACATTTAAGAATGGTTGTATTACAATTTGTTTAGGATTATTGTAACGACTACTCATATTAGGTGATATATTAACTGTAACCACTACTCATAGTACTTATTACATCTATCGTCGTACAAGATGTGTATAATCAACGTTTGTAAAGCAATCCTTTAATGTGCACATTGCATTGCTAGAATACCAATAATAGGCAAAACGCTACACAGCTGTTGCATTTTGCTCAGCTGATTGAAGTTCTCTCACTGTTCTTCACTGACCACTTGTTGAATGCGCTGTTGTGTTGATATCCATGCAAAAACACAGTTCCAGCAACAAAATAATAATGAGTATCGCGATAAGATTTATTTCATTTGCGATTTCTCTGTTTGGCAGAATTTTGCTTTAGACTATAAACTTAAGCATGCGGAACGTTCAGAACATTAATTGCATTTTCATATGATCGATTTTAAATTCAAAACGAAAGATGCTCGTTCATTATTGCATAACTGTAATTGAATGTATTCTTTCAGCTGATCAATATGCGTCTAGAATCAGGTGTGATGTCACAAGGGGCATGGGACTATCTCGCGATGCACAAGTTTGGTTCGGTATGTTTCCATCGAATTATTGAATGTTTAAAGAGACATGAACAGTTTAATAGCTGACAGATTTAGAGTTCATATTCGTTGCAATCCCATTCATCTGCATCGTTAAAACAATTTAAGACTCTGAACCCAGAGTCCACCAGCAAATTATGTATTTTTTAGGATTTTCATTAAACTCTGCGTAAATGACTGTCGTTTTGAAGCAAGAAACAGCGAATGGTTTATTCGTACACCATTTAGCAATGAACAGCAAAACCGATAACAGCTCATTAAAACCTATTATGATGAGAACAAAAGCATAGTATTTGGTGCAGTATGAAAATATGTTTATGCAGTTACTCTCATCATAGGCATCATATTGTTTCGGCGTTCGTTTCCAAGGATTTTCGAGTCAATTTTTTATCATTATACAGCATCGAATGACAAATGCGGCGATGATCCTATCAAGGGTTTTGACCGTTCCTAAAGTTTAACCGATTGCTGAAGTTTATAAAAATCGCTAATCATATTTACGTTTTGAAATAGGAAGCCAAAAAATTATTTTTCAACGATTGTTAAACATAATTCATTGTGGCAGATATTTTCGGCAACTGCTCTCTAATCACATTATTTTTGTTTATTTCGTAAGCGAAAAAATTTGTCAACATTTTATTATATTTTATGAGTCCAAATCAGAGGCAACCCACTATTGATGGGATCAGCAATGGACTAATTATATCGTGAAGAATATTTGAAGTATTTTTGCAACTTAATTTGAACTAAAAGTTTCCATCGTAACAATATTTCATACACCGAATGATAATTTTTTAAAGTAAAACGTTGGTGAAACAACTCAATAGAATTAGTTGAATCTAATGAAATATTATTTTCATTGTCATCTGCTGTGCAGGAGGTAAGAAGAAAGCATGTGTCATGTTTGTAAACTTTTTTTCTTAGCTTCTTCTCATCTTTCATATGCTAATTGATCATTTTCCATTTGGCTGGGCATTCCTTCAGCAAATTTTCATTCGAATTTTCACATCGAAAATCTTTCTCTAATAGCATAGTATACCTATTTTATACTCAAGCTCTTTAAGACATCCTATCATCCTCAGAAAAATAGCACTTCTAAAGATCATACCAGTGCTCGTAATGACGATTGCATTGGATCAGTTGCAAGCAGAAAAACGAAGACTGCCATCAGAAAAAATGTTTTCAGAACTCATCTTGTTTCTCGCATGGAGTTTTCAATAATATTTCATGTCACCTTTTCTGTCCCAATTTGACGGAAAATAATTATCCAAAATGGATTGCGAAAATTTATGGGCCAATTGTACTTACCAAGTATTTGGATGCTCTTGAATGAGATACAATTTGAATCAAAGATTGTTGTAGCGAAATTTTATTAATATCCGCCCGATCATTACTTCGTTTTCATTCGAATTAGCACAATTGAGCAGTCAATCTGATTGAACCTTGCTAGTGTCTGAACAAAGAATCATAAAAATGATTAATAATTGTTGTATTTTCAGTTGGCTTTTTCAATACTAGTCTTGAAAATATTGTAGCTTTGATGGTATGTTAAGGAATGCAATGCAGAGTTGTTACGCTGTTCACAAAAATCCTTCACAGCAATGCTTCATTCTAAAATTACGCATGCTCACATTGCAGCAATTATTATTGTATTCTCACATTGTTATGGACACTTCTTGGCACTGTAAACATCATTATGAAGAAGGATAGTGTGCTTGATTTGCATGTAATCAGTGCATTGCAATATTTGTTTTGAGTGTAATTGCGAACTGTGACTTGAATGTTACTTTGATTCGACCTTATTTGACAATACTTCAGTGCTGTTGTTTTCGATTATCGAATGCCCTTGATGAAATAGCATCGTAGATTGCATTGCGTTTACATATTTTGCGGTTCTTTTTGTTTTCAGTAGTGATAGCTATTCAACTCTATTTCATTTCATCCTCTATTCTTCTCTCCAAAAATCTCCTTATCGCATCACATTTCATTCTCTCCTTTTACTTTCTCATAAATCCTTTTTTTTTCTTTCAATAAATCCGTATTGTACTTTTTCCAGAGTGACAAAAAGGAAAAGCAAGCTTATATAGAAGAGTTGAAAAGCTGTCTGAATCCGAAAAACCTCAGCAAATATTTATTCAGCTTCTGCAAAAGAAGTGATTTATCGGCTATCATTGGAACTAAACTCGATAAGTGAATAATTTTTTTGTGGTTTTCATTTGATCATTTTCTTCACTTTTTTCAGTTATTAGTTTTCTTCCTATAAATTTTGCAACTTTACTTCATGTTTTTCGATGAATTTCAGTGCTGTTAATTGTAGCAAATGTTTCTCAGCTCATAAAGTTGTTCACAGACAAAAAAAATCATCTTTATCGTTGTTCATCGATAAGAATAAAGGAAATAAAAGAATTAAGCTCATAAAATAAGTCTATCAACAAAGAACAACATTTGTAAATCAGCGGGTCTTTCAGTTCGATTATAACCATGCTTTCATCATATTTTAGCATTGATGCACTCTTGGTGACCGGTGCAAGAGCATCGCATTTGCATACGGTATACAGAACGCATAAATCGCTAAATAAAAAGAAGACGACACTACTTGTAGTTGATAACGTTAGCGACGTTATGGCTGAGGCAGTACGTTTCTTTACACGTTCATCTTTTACTTTGAAGTACTGACCATCAGAAATAAAGTAAAATCTTTCCGGCTTTCATCTCATTTTAACATTTCAAATAAATTTATGAATGTGATAAGGCAATGCAAAGTTCGACAAGTGATTCTGATAAATTCATTGTTGGAATTCAAAAGTGCCGTATGGTTAAAACAGATATCTGAAAACTTTAATTTTGCTATGTATCATTAGCTCACCAAACTTCCTTTGAATATAGATGGTACTTTTTACATATAATTTTTGGCATTTTGCAACCATTTATTTATTCATGTTGTGTTCATATTGGTTATGTTCTTGTAGCCTGAGAAATTGGCGCGGTCACTGATTCTTTGGTGCAAAGGATGCGGGGTGCTGTCTGGTGTGCCCGTTCCTGGTATGGAGCGTCAACGCACGCTGAGCAGGTTTCATTGTTTTGCAGACGTTTAAAGTTTTTATTACCTGAGCCATAATCACTTGCAGCTTTCTTTTCTCTCATATGAGATTGTCTAGAATCAGATTAGTATTAGTATTGTTTCAGCTCTATGGAGGAAGCAGATCGCCCTCGTCGCCTATCGGTGACGCAGCCTACGCCTCCAGTATTGCAGTGATTTTTGAGACGAAAAATTCTATCGGACAGAGGAGCAACAAGTTTGCGTTTTGATTGCTTGATTTGAGTGTTGGAGAAGTATTTGTTGTAATCATTGATCGAACTCAATTTCCCGTTTCTATTCGCATATTCAAATACGTTTACAATATATACCGCACATTCACCTTTCTTCTTGTCAACTCTAAATCACATTCAATGCGCATTTTGAATAAGAACTTCTAATTTGTCTGCTTCCACTGTTCGCGTATGGAATTTATTGGTTTGCTATCGCTGTATTGTTGTCTCGCTCTAAAATGCAATAATCAGCTCACGAAAACAGTTCAGCGATAATTCGCATGATGTGCCCCATATCGGCTATCTGCATATATCGGTGATGGTGATGAAGATGATGAAAAAAATATGATGATTTATTTATGTATTTGTTATTCAGTCCTCATCTTATGTTGTGCATTATTTCTTGGCAGCCGATATTTGATTGCAGTCATTGACTGACATCTAATAGCTCATCAGTTCACACGTTTATTCAGTTATTTCTTATTTTTGCGTTTCCGATTGAGATGATTCCAGGAAAGCATTTATTCGCTCACTCATTAACATGTGCAACTGAAGCACTTATGCTGTCGATGAAAGTTTCAGATTGATAAATGAAATAGAAACGTTTTCATTGAGTTGCGTCTTATGGCTGCTATCTCGAAGGGGCATCCGAATTACGAACATATCTGAAATGATTGAAATGAAATGTTTCAGTCAGTCATCGGTTAGCATTAAAGTGGTTCGTGGTGGTGATCATTATAATAATGAAGTTTGCAATTAGTATGCCTTCGTTGCAAATCAACCTCTTCTCTTATTCCTATTCCTTTTTCATTCTTATTCGATATGTTGTCTGTCCTAAGTCCATCACATGTGTTCGATCGCTCTGTGACCAGTACTGCTTACCCCTTAATATTTTATGTTCGGTTACATCCTTCGAAAGTCCGTAATTTATTTGCTCTAAGGTAGACATTTCGCTGAACAAACAGCATAGCTGTTCGTTGTCATAATGCTAAGTTAGTGAGTTGCCCGAGCATATTTTATCACTGATTTGTGCTTTCTGATGATAAGCATTACAAGTGATCACGGACTCTGCAAAACATCTGCATCCGCATGCTGCTTGTATATTTCAAATTTTAATCACTTATAATACAACTGGCCATATAATATCGACACTGGGTTCTTTCCTCAAACAATGTTCTCTATTGGGACTTAGCTAACTCCTTCGATAATTGTAGTCTCTAGAAATGTTCAACATTTCTACATACTATTTTGCATTTCAATCCCATTCCGTGTTTTTAATTCAATGGTGTTTTATTAATTGTATTTGCATTTTATACTCTTTTGTTCACATTTGTGATTTCACATATTGACTAGTATTGTGTAAATACAAGTTTTTGACATTTGCGACTATCTGTATTTACTCTATGTTTGAAATTCTGATTAAAAAAGAGCTCATGTACGAATTAGCAAGTGTAAACGGATACACTTATAGAACAGTTCATATGATGGTCATTTCGATTATATTCAAATGCATGAGTGTTTTGTGCAAATTTGATTGTATGGTTTTATTTGCAAGAAGAACGGAGAATGAACAGAGTTAACTGAAAACAGTTGAAAGCAATGCCGCTGGATATTTGAGAGCAGACTTAATCTACAATCGATGAACGCCGGATTTGTGTCTCTTCAGTAGAAGAAATTTCCAGAATGGTCAGTCTGCTCGTTGACCGCATTTTAATTTGAGAAAGTGAAAGCCATTCAGTGTCTATTTTGGTGGCAAAAAAATTCAACGCTTTGGAAACCTAGACTCTGAAATTTGTTTTTGGTTGGTCAATGTGTTTGTCAGTGTTTGTCCAACAACTCACAATTGGTCACTTGCGCCTCTTTGAACTGTTTAATACGATTTAAAAAGTATGGATCATGAAATGCTAGTCACAGTTGGTTGCAACTAAATCCAAAACAACAAATAGCATCGCAGAATTGTTGTTCTAACTCTCAGTTTCAAAAATGATGAAAAATTATTGAATATTTGTTATTATATGACAAATAAATTCTCTCTAGCATTCTTTCATCTGGAATCGCTCATTTATGTAAATTCTTGCATGTTCCAAGGTTTAAAAAAAAACAGGAGCTATGTTGTAGTACTCATAAGACGAACGAGAAATCTGTTTCATCCGCAGAACTTTTGCCGTTTGACTTCAGTGTCCTTGCTCGTGCTGGAAGCTTGATGCAATTCAGTTATACCCTAATTTTGTGTGCGTAACAAATGTGTTCGTCCAACTCACAATAAAATTCGAAATATTAGAGCATCAAAAGGAACGATTCGTAGACGACCAATTTTTTAAACGCCAAGCACTTATTACAGAGGAAATTATACGAACGTGAAACAATTTTAAGGAACCACATTTCGATCTCATTGTCAGTGATGCCAAGTGAGAAGAACACTTCCAACATAATGCGTAATTCATCTTCTGTAAGAGAGAATTTCAGTGGCGAGAAAAACCGTTCAAAACAAGCAATGAATGTTTCATTTTGCTTCTTATTTAAAAGCATGCCTCATTTGCAGTACTAGATGAACACGCAAACTGCAAAAGACGAAGCCTAGCAGATGCTATTCTATTTGTTAGTGGATGAACATGTATCATTTCTACATAATGCTATGCAGTTCGGAGAAGTTATTGTATACTCAACATCACTTCGGCGTATTACAGTCACTTCTACATGACCACTTTAGGAATTGTTCGCTTCACTGCATAACGACTTTAAGAATTCCTCGATGTATCATCGAGTATTCAGTAATGGAACTGTATCAATATCCAGCAAATATCATTTATGAACGGATATTTCAGCCGATGATAACTGTGAAAGGTGATCAAATGCTAAAAATAAGATCACATCCATTACGCCGATGGTATTCGCTCCTTTTAACTTCAATTTGTTGAAGGGCGACTGAGGCAGTCAGATAAAAATTAAGAGTTCTCCTAAATGATCATACAGTTTTGCGTACTGGAACGATGGTAATGGAACAATAAATTAATTCGCCTGGAAAGACTCCAAATCCTTAGATCTAAATCCGACCGCGACATTTTTACTGTATTTTCATTTTCATGATTCCTGTGCCGAAAAATCTTTCAAATGTACACTTTTAACAGTAGGGTATCAAAATCATGCTGCATCCCGTCAAATCACCATCGATAACTCATTCCAGCGAATAAATTGATTCAGTGAATGAAGAATCATTGAAACAAAACCTAGAAATTGTTTTCCAATGTCTTTGAGGATTTTTACCATTAGTTGAATTAGTTAAACAACCGGAACCGGTTGGGTAAATAGATGAAAACATTACCAAAATTATATAATCAAGGCAGAATAACGAACCCTCGCCATTCAGGTTGACCGAAAGCTTGACACGCAGTTCTCATGCAGATTCCTAAGTTGGCTCAAATTATGTGATGTGCTCGAAACTCACATCATTCATATGCATCCCTTACCAAAGTAGTTCAGTCTAACAAGCATATATCAGGCCATCACTGCCGCCAACGTACACCTGTCACTTTCCGCTACTGTTCGTCGGCCTGCGTGAACCCGACCAGCAAACTACCATTTGAAACTTTCGCCGTAATCTTCTTTGGACGAATCGCCCCTCGGCCGAAAAACTGCTCTCCAACGATTATCACTTTCAGCGAAATATCAAAAACTCGTGATCTTGAATGCCTCAACACTCTTAGCTCTTCTGCACACGGGATTCATTGTAGAAAAGGAAAAAGATGAACCTTTATCATATCGTAAGGCCAGCCGCCCACAATATAAAGCGAATTACGATCACAATCACATAAAGCACTCGAAAGAAACAAGAAGCAGTAATCACATAGGATATCCAAAGATCAAATTCCATAAATGCATTCAAATAACTCTTACATGATCATTCCAAAAATGGTTCAGAGCATGCACGTAAAATTTAATCGCACACAAATCCCTCTGAGAATTTGGTAGCGATCATCGCTATGAAATGCAGTCACGGATGATCGCACGTATCACAAGACTTTTTGGCCAATAATCACTCGTGACTATTTCCAAATGATGCCACTGACATAATACATTGTTCTCAACCACTATTTACACAAATGTTTATTCATTTATGAAGTTTGTTGCCGGTGCCTTTTAATCGGTACGGTTCTTGCATTCATTTCATAGTACATTTATTGGTCATTATCCGTAGTACGCAACCTGAGTTCATTTTCTAAATCACACAAATTCTTCTCTAAAATCTCCACTTCATTGAGACGCCCGTCTTCTGCTGCTTGTTTCAGAAAACTAAAAAAGTTGAACGTTATAAACAAAACTTTCGGTCAAATTTTTCTTTAATTGGCAGCATAATATGAACGATATGAATAAAATATTGAAGTTATGCAGAAAAAAAGTACACAACCAACCGTTTAATGTTATAAATTTGTTCCTGTAAAGGATTGATCTTAGGTTCGTCATCAACGAACGGATTGTACGCATGTAAAGGCTGTGTACATGGTGTCCACCCATCATCACCGAACGCTGACGCAGGTTCGATGATCGTAAACGAGTCTGAATAATCCTTTGAACGCACCTCTCTCACATTTTCATCTTCAGGCGCAGCATGTGTCAAGTCCTTCAGTGAAGTATTCGAAGAGCAAGGCTACAATGTTACATTTGATAAAACAATTAATCTACAATGGCATCGAAAGTGAAAATAATAATTCACTCTGATTTCGCCTGAAGAGTGCTCACAGCAATGGCTCTTTTATTCCTAAAAATGCTCCTTTTTGCAGAACATCACCGGAAAAATTTTAAGTTTAACTGATGTTCTCTGGAAATTTCTGGATCAAATCAAAGCAGTAAAATTGAAGGTTCAAGATTGAACATGTTTACATTCACAATGAATGCGTTTCGCTCGGCTTGCAATTCAGTTTGACGCTTAATTTCTGCGCGTCGGTTCTCTTGTAATCGTTTGTATTCGTCTTCGCTCGGAAGAGCTCTCAATTGCGAGATTATCCACTAAATTTTTTCAAGCACAAATTTAAATTAGAAAAACAATAATAAAAATTAAACAACAAACTTCTGGATTTACCATTATTTTTCAGCTGGGTTTTCAAAGAACTTCGTCTTTATTAAAGAATATCAAACTCAAGAGAAGAACAGGCTATCATAAAAGAAAACAATAGAATGGCAGATTTGGAGATAATCATATTTAAGATGACAATTGCTGATATATATGTCACAACCTACGGGACTGCAGTTTCGCAGCGCTATGAATATCCAGCTTCTTAACAAAACAAAACTATGTGCAATAAAACGATAAACCTGTAGTGTACTTATGGCGAGCAGACGAATGTTCTTTTGTAAGACACGTTCACGAGGTGATATTTTTTGTGACGAATCTTCACTCGTTCCTAACGTTTCAATTTTAGCGCTGCAAGAAAACGCAACATCGTGAATGAATACACCTATTACAAAATGCTCAACAAAGTATACGAGTGGTAGATATAACAGTATTTCATATCAGGGGTGAATCCTTAGAACGTGATTTTATTCGTTTCTTAAGCATAAAAACTACTCCAATGCTCATATCTCAAAAGGCATTTCGCCACATTGTAACCTCTATATTTGTTCACTAACATCGATGGATTTGATATATTTGAAGAAAATCTGTACATTTCCTATAATCCTATGGTTCAAGAAATTCCTATAGTTATTCTACGAAGATACTAATAAAAAGGTTGCAAAAGGACGGTTTCAATGGCAAAGAAATACCTCACAGAATCGATTTCACGCTGCAGATAAACAACCTTTTTACGCAGTTGAGTTGCTGATTCGAGGGTGTACATAGACTCACCTTTACTATAAAATACAGCATTAATCAACTGACTAAGTCGGACATTTGGACCACATGCATAAGAAAACAAAAATTCGCGAAACTTGACCGACTAAACTGACCCTTCAGAAGCAAATACGAACTAGAAAATATCTCCAAATATGAGGTAAAACGGATCTTCAGTTTAGAATTTATTGCCCATGTCGAATTATTTTGAAATAGAACACTACTGAAAATGCCGAAATTCTAATGAGGCTAGTATGAACTCGTTAGTTCAAAGTGACTGATTTAGACTTTGGAACCATAATGTTTAGTATATCTGAAAATATCCATAAGATACTTATGGTAGCGAAAATTTGTCTAAACAACATAGCAGATACGGCAGATAAAATGGAAGTAAGTGAAACTGTTTGACCAGTGATTACTTCAGGGAATCATGCATACGTGCATACGACGAAGTAAGCTTTTCGGCTTCCCTTATAAGCGAGCATAATCGATCGTACAGAACAACAACCATCGGCGATACACTCATTTGCTCCATTTTTTCGTCTCTTGCACTCAAGAGGCCTTTGCATACGGCACATATCCGCAAGTGCTGATCTTCATCCTGTAACTGAATAACCAAGTGGTTTCTTTCGATAAATAAGATTCGGAAGAGATATTTCATAAAGTCGGTGTTAGAAAATAACCAGGCATTTTATAACGTGAAATTTTCAAATTATAGTACAACCTAAGCAGATTTAAAAGCAATCAAAAGCAAAGTTAGCATAGTTTCGAATGAAGCAATCGAAAGCAAAGTTAACATACTTTCGAATGAAGCAATATTAACCAATAAAAACTCCTTATCATCAATTTGTGTCCATCAATCCCATCAAATGGTTAGTATCATCGAAAGAATGATGAAAAAAGAGCATCATAAAAAGGTGTGCGATGAAAAAATGGGATTAGCAGTGAGAAGTGATCGATAACCTGCTGCAGTAATGACGATAAACTGACTTCACTGCCGTCGCCTTTCATTATCGCTAAAGTCGACGAGAATATTTTCTCACTCTTCTTTCGCACTGACATTAGAGAGTCACCAGAAACCGCGTTTCTGATTGCATCAGTCATAGATGTCGACGATGATTTTGATGATGACAAGGATGCATAATTGGGTTTTGACTGATTCACAATTGAACTCTCCAACTCAGCACGTGACATTTCCTCCAACATTTGTGCGGCAAACGCTGGATTTGTTAACTTCCCTTAATCAAAATGCCAAAATCACCAAATAATCCGAAAACCAATGATTCTCATAATGGAATATGACTGTATATAGAACTTTCAGTTTTTTGATGTCATCGCTTTTACGAATGCAAAGTAAAGTTCTTCAGTAGACTGTGCATCATTCACCATCATCAAAACCAACAAGTGTTCGAAAAATAAATTAAAGAATTGAGAACTACAGAATGTGACTCAACAGAAAGAATAACACCTTTGCCTAGATGGATATGAGAATTCGTATACGGCAGAGATATTTTTAAGGAAGAGCGGTACACGGCAAATGCAGTAATGAAAGCAAATAACGGTTAATGCAATCCAAGGCGAATGGACGCAAATAACAAACAGCAAATAAGCTAACGTGCAGTAATGAATGAGAGGAACTGCGAGCATGCGTGGCACATCATCTTTCCGCACAAACGACAGTGATGTCGTCTGCGAGTTATTGTGAATCTCTCATTGCAAACTCGGCACGCATTCGACTCTTTATCAGCCACCCAGGGCACTGTGTTTCGTTCAAATTCTACAAACAATTAATACTCAACACCCCATAACATGCATGAAACTTAATCCGTCGAATACACCAATAAACATTACGAATATACATTTACATTAGTACATCTCTTATACTTCGTATTATTTTGAATAGTGAAACAAAAGAACGTGCCTTAAACAATTGAAAGCCTTTTGTATCGACAAAATACCGAATATCATAAAGGTGTTTTTCATGAATCATGCACCAGTAATCACTACAAGAACAATTCACAAAAGATCGTTAAACTGATATGATAAATAACCTTTCCGTTGGTTTACGTCTGCCGGACACTGATTAATAAGTTTATCAAGACGGATGATTAAATTATTTGTTCGCATGGCAGCATCATTTATGCATGGAGCTCGACACTTCAAAAAGTACTCCTTATGACTACGGCAGACACCTGAAAAAAAAAGCTGAATTTCGCAATAGTAAAAGCACATAATCGACGACGGAGAACGTCAAGAAATGTTCGAACATGAAAACCCCCCGAAAATATTCAACTATTTATGCCTTAAGTTATGCAGTGAAAAAGTCCTTAGTTATCACTTCAATGGTATACCGATGTTTGTTTTCAAGGCACCACCCATGAACTTTTGCAGGTTTATAATGTCTCGCTTTGGACTAATAAATACTCTCAAAACTACAACAAATAACCGTTTCAATTTAGAAGCGCAACCAACCCATTTCCTGCACTGAGTCAATCCTTTGTGGACTTATTCGTCTTCTTAGCAGTTCGTTTTCGCTCCTTCTTACATCTGATATGACCACGGACGGGCCTGTACCTAAGGTAGGAAGATCCAGACTTGAAAACGGCTTATCCATTTGCATAATCTTTTGCTTAGCCTTACCGAAGAGCCCTAGAAGTGAGAACGGTTAAGAATCGTTTTAGTTTTACAATCAGTTAGAAAGGCTCAATCAATGGTTTGGTTCTAATCGAAGAAAATAAAAAACTATTAGAGTTTAAGAAATATTGCTGCTGTCAGGAAACTAGAAAATGTGGTTCTCTACACTAGTAGAAGTGAATGACGTTCGGAGAATGGTTCTACAGTATGTGCGACAGCCATCTGATTGAGGAAGCCTATGTTAACAATGAAAGATTACCAATAAGTGTAAGCGATGGAAAGCAATTATCAGGAACATGATCTTTCCCAATTTCCCAAGGGCAAATCACAAAAACTTTGCAGACAGCTTCAACACCCTCATTGAAAGGAGAAGTTGATGATTTATGCCATCGTGGGAACCATGGTATGGCGGAAATGCAATGAAACAACCTTTAAGATGGTCGAATCCGTTTGCAGAAGATGTCGACGCAGGATGATACTTGTCCACGTGAGCAAAAAGATGCGATGCATCACCAAGGTCTTCCAAACAGAATGGACACAAGAAACCTTGTCGGATGTTAATACCTTCCTCGATTGTTTCATTTCCATCCCCCTCCATGGACGATTCGCTCAGAACTGCCCGTTCCAGATATTTCCTCTCAATCACCTCAAAAGCATTCCATGCACTCGCTGATAGTTTTTTGAAATTTCAGGAAAAAACAGAAAAAAAAGTTCAAAAAACCAAAAAACGGTACAACAGCATAAATAATTAACAGATGTGGACTGGATACGGAACGAACTAGTCAATGGGCGTGTACCAAAGCATCATGAAGACAGAGAGAGCGCAATGTGCGTCAACGGTTTTCACACCTCTCGAAACAGAAGAGAGCACGCAACAGACACACATAAAGGAATGTGCTTGCGATGCAGAGAGAAAGCACGGATGCGATCGAAGGATTTGAATGGAAGGATTCGAGCCATTGGAAGCACTATCTTGAGCTATGCACACTCAAGCTGATCTGCACATGTTGGTGTTCGGTGCGAATATGACGGTGATTCCTCTCTCCCAATCAAATTCGCATCGTTCCGAAAATCGCTCACTTCGTTCTTTTTTCATCGTAATCATTATCACCAATAAGTTTTGATCGTCATCATCATTAGTTTCCGTGCTTACATAAATTACTCTTCAATAGATCACCACATTCAACCGGTGGGAATTTTGAAATATTTCGTTTGGTGAAACCGAACCCGAATCTCCCCGGAATATAACGATGTTGCCTGAACAAAAACGTTTAGAAGGGTTCGTTTTCACAGGATAACACCATTCCAGTTCGATGAAATGGATGAGTAGTGTTACTGCTTCAGTATGACTACGTGGTTGATGGTGGTTAGTAATACATGGTGGTTGATATTAGAAGTGGTTAATAATATATGGTGGTTAATATACGGTTAATAATGCAGGATGGTTAAGACATAGTTAATATGTGGTTATATGGCTCTATCGTGAATTACAACAAGACTGCTGTTGTGCCCGCGTGCAACCCCCCTCCTCCCAAAGTAAACAAGTGCTAATCATTCTTTCAGAGGTTATGAAAACAAAATTTCTGGAACGAGCAAGAGGAAGACGTCATAATGAGTAAAGGGTAATCCTGCAGTTTATGTCAAGGAAAAAGAGGGCGTGCTCTAACACACACAGAACACGCCTCAGAACATGCATAACGACATTCTGCCACAACGCTCTCCGCATATTAACAATAGCTTTCTCGAACAATGAGAAGTATTTCAGCTGAAATTAATTCAGTTTTAGTAAGTAAGCATGCTTGCAGATAATTGTGATGCATGCAACGAGGAATGAATCAATGATAAACATTAAATAAGAAATGGGTATAGTTTGGATTCATAGTCCGAATATAATCAATTCACTTGAGGTGAAGAATAGGTCAATTGCAAAGTTATACTCACTGAAATGAAACCAAACTGAAGAGTATTGACCTATTGCACAGTAGAAGTCAAATGCACGCTAATACCAACTGAAATGAATCCGTGCTGGATAGCATTCACCGTTAGCTTGAATATGGTGATCCTGACATTACTACCCTCTTGTGTACATTGATCAACCCAGATACAATGTATTGGAATGAGCCACTTCGCTACGTGAGCTGGCTTCAGAAAATCGTTGATATTACTAATCGGAGAGGATAATGTCACTCGAAGTGTTATCACATATCGTTATGCACAAAACCTGGTGATTTAAATGGTTACATGAAGTTCCTGAATCTCTTGTTTTCGTTGAGTGGACGGAGTCGAGGAAAATTTTGTTCTTCGGCTAATAGAACGAAATCGCTCGATAGCATATACATGGCTCGTAAATCTTTGATACATATGAAATTCAGTGATATTTTGATTGACATGATCTAAAAATACTTCAGTATCATTCTCAGTAAAACTTATTGCAGATCTCGCATCTTTCCTCATTCTCTTAAGCCTAATGACCTCCTAGTTTAGGGATGAGCTTGTAAATGTTGTGTGAATACACTAGTGAAACATAATGTTTTTTGTTCCAACAATTAGCCGAAGAGAACCAAATTTTTCCTCGACTCCATCCATTCAATGAAAACAAGAGATCCAGGAACTTCATGCAACCATTCAAATCACCAGGTTTTGTGCATAATGATATGTGATAACACTTCGAGTGACAATATCCTCTCCGATTAGTATTGATAACATGCCCCCGAATCTCATCCGGAATGAAACAGTTTCTAAGATCCTAGCGAATGACCTCGGCGAAATATCGATTCTTTTTTGCATTGATGTTGGAATTCACTCGCTAGTGATATGATATGTGCATGTTTGTTGATCACTTCGTTCTGATCACAAATGTGCACTCTATGAATTTCTTCGATCTGTTGATGGTACCATACCAATTGATGACCACAGATCATGTCACTGCGATTGCCTTACTGATATATCTTGAATGAGTTTGCGTTAAGGTATTGGTAACCTGTGAGGCTAACTTATCAGTGATAATTGTATTGCACTGCTCGGACTGTATTGAAATGAAGTTGAGGTTTACTACGAATTAATCATTTAATACTGTTCCAGACCGGAGGTGATCGAGTGTACAAACCGTGACAGTTTCAACGACAATGTCACTGGTCATCATCTCAAATCAAAGGTGAGGAAATGAATCATCTTTGTGGTGGTTTAATTTGTTAGTTAGTGATTTGAAATGTCTTTATTGTAAATCAGTCATGTTAATTTCTCTTGATCTGGCAGGAATCTAGCGTATGTTCAGTAAGTATGAGTATCATGTGAATATTCTCTGTTAGATGTGTTGATATATAAAACAGTCGCGTGATAACAGACAATATTGATAGAGATGTTGATATTTTGGGCAATGTGGCAATGTGATATATGCCTGAAAATGATACATCTTGTCAGCATTAAATCGTCATCCAATTCCAGGTAGAGTCATTTACTGATCGTTCTAACCGTAATTTCACGGGTAATTCTGATGGATGACGAGACACGACAACCGATGGTGATGGGCCAATGGCATTCGATTGGCGTGGTGTTATCAATTCGTTTGTATTAATATCTCATGGATGTATCAATATTCAACAATATCCTCGGTTTTTTTGAGCGAGAAATGCCACTGAGAGGAATCTATAATTTTGAAAGAGTGTAATATCTTACTGCTGCGTTGGTCTATCTTATTGTATCGATGATGAGTGCATGGATAAGTGCTGAATTTATCTTATGACTACCGCTTAAGAATTAATTTATTACTGTGTTGAACTGATCAAGATTCACTTGATCGAATTGTGTAATTTGTTGTTTTTGATTTTGTCAACAGCTCGCTATTGCAACATTTCATTGTCGATTGCCATATGTCAAGTATGCCAAGATCGAACGCAACTGACAAAAAAGCTACTTTACGCGTGGCATTTGGCGGTCTGTTTGGTGTCACCGAGAATTTTTCATCCAAACCAATAGATGATAACTTAAATTTATCCACTGGTAGCCAATGGGGTAGTATGTGTATGCGATCATTATGGGCTGAATGCCTAAAGAGAATAATCTCTAAAAAACTTTTAAAAAATGACTTGCAAAAAAAAAAAACCAACCATGTTCGGTATCTTCACATCTCGGTTTAAATTTGATCTAATTACCTGTAGTATATCGAAAGAAATCATTACAAATATCAATATATTCCTTCCATATATGACACAAACTTATTCCAAAGAGCAGTTTATTTGCTTCAAAATAAGTATTTATGCTAAAGGGTCGATGAGTACTTCATGAACAATCAACCGATGAACAGGTATTCACAATAATAGAATGACTGAAGAATTTCATTCTCCTATGAATGCTTGAAATTTCCAGCAAAAGTATCCGTTCCGATAAAATTCTGATGGTTGTTGATAACATTCAGTTGAAACAGCCATTCTCCCCCATAGAATATCCTTCAAACTTTCTTCAGTTTTGAGAATAGAAGTAAAACGTAAAGAACCAGATCAGTACTGCAAGGATAAGGTGGGAGATCTCTCTGTACGATGCAAGGCTTCAATAACTTTATAACGTTTCCATTCAAGTTTCACTGAAAATTTGAAGTTGGCTTTAATTCCAAACTTGCAGATTAAAACACCTTACCTGGTAACAAGTTAATGACTATCAAGGATTTTGCGACAGAATTTGTCAAAGCTGCTTGAAACTCAACAGACACGTGTAAACGTTTTAGCTTTTGCAGTTGGGCTATGACTAAATTAGCAGTATCTGTCTAGAAACGCTTTGAATGACTTTTGTTTTGTTGTTGTTGTAATTACAAAAAACAATCGATAAAACCATATTATCGCATTAATAAAAAACATTTCGCTGATTGACTGACCTTTCGACGAACAATTACTAAGAGGCAATCAATAACCAACAAACAGAAACAATACATCAGAATTATTTCTCAAATTAGAGAAACAACTATAAAATGTAATCACATTCTTTTATGAAAAAAATACGTCCCCAGTTAACTCAATGACAATTTTTGTCACTCCTAACATCATCATACCGAACTGATGAGAAATTCTTTTAAAAAACGCGATTAAGCAGATTTATTTAAACCATTCATACGAAATAGGAATAGAAACTTTTGTGAACTTCGTAATTTTTTTTTCTACTGCTGACGTAAGTTTTCGCTGATAATTTTGAAAAATTTTTGTTTTGTCTTTTCTCGCACTATATGAACGAATTTCAAGCGAAATTTTCAACAATCATATCTACATATGCTGAGAAGTTAATGGGATATATAAATTAACTTAAAGTCGTTATTACATACACTGGTTAGCCTTTTACTTTCCTGAGTAGATCGATCAAATTTTGGCCAGTCTCAAGCACCATTCTTATCAATTTCAGAACTACGAAGTTTACTGAAAGCACCATCCAACCTCGCGAATCACCTCACTCAACAAAAATACCATTAATCAATTGAGAAGAACGTCTCTTTGGTATTTCAATTGAAAATAAAAACCCATAATCTCGCTGAACGCTTCAAAACATCCAAAACAAATAGTAATCATACAAGTATCGTAATATCTAGTAACACATCATCAAAACAAACGTTAAAACAAAACAAGTAATAACAGAACACATCGAACACACTCAACATAATATAATTTATCAAACGAACAATGATTACCGCGTTTCGTGTACACCGATTATTGGGATAAGAATCAGGGAGATGAATCATTAAAATTAAGCATCTTGCATCGTTTCATCAATGAAAACAATCAATGTCACATCGAAAAACGAATTGACGGACTGAGTCGTACAGAACAGAGACTGATAAATAAATAATCATTTCCGATAATTTCACCGAAAAAGAAATATTCAATAAGTGCACTGAAAGACTCATCCGCTATAACAAAAAGCAATGATTCACTGCATTTTAAACATGGACGTTTAGCAATAAATAATCATTCACATGGAAACAAAAGCATTAAGCGTCATAACCATAAGGACAATATTGAAAACTGTTGTTTAATGATATCGAATTCAACAAATCAAAAACAGAACAGACACACGTGTAAAGAAAGGTTTTTCAGCCTTGTACGGATACCTTCATGATGCATCCATTATCCACACACAACTAAAACAAATCGAAGAAGAAAACAAAATATTAGAGTCATAAACTCCAACTTAAACAAATTTTCGCATCTTTACAATAGAATATCAACTGGTTATTCGAATAAAATTATGATCTCCTTTCACTAAATGGAAAGGACGCAAAATAAAATATAAATTGGACCGAACGAACCCATTAACAAACAAATAGAGACTCATGAGTGATCTATGTTGAATATTTTGATAACAAAGTGAGCAGATATCAACCATCAATTCACGACGACAGCAACAACAGCAATTACACAAAATATCTTCAAGAATGATTCAGTTGTGAAAGATCGTATGGGATAGGATGCAGAAAACAATAACTACACATGAGAACAACAGCACATGACAGGTGACTAATCGCAGATGATAACAACAACAATAATGGTAATAATACTGAGCTTTTCACTCTTCTTGCTGGATAACGCAAGAAGTAAAGGATAAAGCAAGATTGTACTGATGAACAACAAATAGGTGAGCGAGTGTGAACACAAAATCAGAATAATCTAAATGATCAATTTTTATTATTCGTGTTTTTGAGTTTGGTAATAAATTTGGATGATGAAGAAGAAAGAAGGGAAGATCGAAACAGAAGAAGTAAGAAGGGTAATTGTCACCAAAATTTGAAGACGATAATAGATTAGAGCAAATGAATAATGCTAGGGTGCGTTGGGTTGAATTGGACTCGTAAAACATGTGAAGTAGCGAAGCAAACGCAAAGCGATAGTTTTGAAACTCAAATATATGCATCATTTATAAGCGGATGAAGCAATTAATACACTGAACGAACATTGCTATCCACCACTGCAATAGCAACTATACGTATAGTCGAATGAGGTCACGAATCTGATTATGGATAACACGCTGATCTTTCGCCCTGAAATGTTTATAAAGAATATTTGTGACTGCAGGAAGGATAAAAAATTTATTTAGGCTAAAAAGTGAGGGGGAACCTAAATGAGAAAACAATTTTAAGATATGAAATACAATCAAATTACTTGAGATCAATTGGACAACTAAATGCCTAACTATAATTTGAATCGAATGAACATTATCCGTAGTTGCGGTTTGTTAAGTTTCAGCACTAGAACGCTTAGATGAGGCAAATGCGAAATTCGAAGGCAGTGGTTGAACAGGGTGAGTCAGGAGGAGGAGTCTGCTAATGATTCACTCAGCTCAAGAAGAAGAAATCTATTGTGATTGAAAGATTTTAAAAATGAAGACAAAATCTTACTCGACAACATTGCGATGAAATTGTTGCAGCTGTTCCGAAGTAGCACATAAACCACTATTCTGAGGTAATGTCTCCAATGCAGTCAATAACCATACCGATAGATTCTGAACGTTTTAATTGATCATTTCATTATGGCAATGTAAACTGATAAGAGATCACCTAAAGAACTAACTGAATACCTAACCTCTTGTGAAAGTTTCCCAACATTGAAAATCACATCAGCCATATCTCTTTTAAGTGAACCAGTGACTGAGAAGATGGCTGCTCGTAAACAACCAGTTACAAGTCTTGACCCGTATTTGCTGATTAAGCGCTCTGCACTCTCAACTCCAATGTCGCGATAGTTCGACTGAAGAGATACAATTCACGGTTACATTAGAAAACAAACAAATAGATACGCATTATTGCAATCATTTGAGTTGATGTCGATCAAAGAAATGAATATATTCCTAATGTAAACATAATTCGGTCCAATTAATAAATACATACTTTCTTTGCAATAATTACCGATTCGATTGATTCCATGAAGAATTTCGTCACTGATCGACTGGCATCTGCATGGTCGACATCAAGAGCAGCGATGCCACATTCAAAGAGATTATCACAGATTGGTTCTTGAAAGAAAGTTGAAGGAGCACGTTGAATGAATCTGAATACCAAATTTGTTGCAAAATCATTCAGTCGAATCAATATTACGCTTCTCAAGGTAAACTCACTCCAAAGCATGAAAAAATAACTCTAAATCAACCACATAAACATAGAACTTCTATGTACTCTTTGCACAACCAAAACAAGAATATATGGATAACAAATCAGAAAATGAATCTACCGAACAAACCTGATGGCAAGTCTGAACAAGTCATCGATCGTGTCTGGATGATCACGAAAACCATTCACTTGTTGCAACAATTTGAATGAACCCTCAGAAAGTGTCTGAATGCAGAATAATTATTATAACCTAATGACAATATCAATAACAAAAACGATAACTATTTCAATAACCAAACTAATCACTATTTATTCTCTGAGCAAAAAAAANAAAAAAAAGACTACTAAAGCGTAAAAACATGCAAAACAAATTACGTTGAGCATATAGACGAGACCCGAACGTGGATGCTCCAATTGTCCATATTCATCAACAAGTATACTTGCCAAATAAAGGAAACATGAATGTGGGTAACGCCTATAGATATCGACCATCTAAAAATACGATACAACAAATCAATTCTCACAAAAATTCCGTCTTTAAAAATTATTCAGTGAAATTTACATGCATCAACAGATGCAAACACACGTGCATATTTCCCTATACGTATCCAACATTGAAGAATGCAGCATTTTTTCAATGAAAATGATAGGAAAAAAGCAAGAGAGTAGGAAGTATTAGTAATAATGATACATCTGCTCCAATGCTTTATTCATCACTCGTTAATGCACCATGTAAAACAATGCTCAAAAAGCAGCTAACAATAAACAAAGATCATAACTAATAAAAATAATGAAAGAAAATGAACCTGAGCGACGAGTTGTTCAACAAAAACCATCGATTGCACACCAAGAGATCTAATGAGGAAACGAACCGCACGACAGCAGTGTTCAATAATGCGAATATGCTTCTCATAATGATTGAATACTGCCGACAAGACTGGCCAAATAACATTCACCGAATCGAGCCAAGGCACTGCTGCTACATCTGCCAGTCGTTCACCTTGAATATCATAAGATACCAGATATGTCTTAATGGAGCATAATGAAAACGACTAAATGATTGTTAACGATAAAACGATACATTCCAGGAATAACAAAAAAATTGAATACTGTTTTAAACTGAACCAAAAAAAAGATGGTAGAGAAATGACAAGTTATACCAGCATAATAATATAGCAATAGTAATTTTAAAAAAAACCTTTGGTATGTGAATTCTTGGCAGGATTAGCATCCTGTTTATGCCATGGCTGTACTTGCCTGAAGACTGCTGCAATACGGTCGATCCACAAAACAGGATCGTGACTCAATCTCGACCAACAATCTGATCCATTCTCGTTATTCACTTCAACGAACGATGCACCATTCTGCGAATTCTGCGATGCACTCGAGTCTATCAACTGCAATTTCGATAAGGCATGACATTGACAAAGAGCACTCATTGATCAGAAAACAACCGTGGTAAAACATCTATTAATATTGCTTATTCATTTTCTACGTTTGTGAATCAATTCTTGTTCGCCTCAAACAAAACCGAATCATGAGGAATAAAACAGAACATACGGCAGCTAAACGTCGTGCATTCGGTTCAGTGAGTTGCTTCAGACGAATGGCAATTTCGTTACCAGGAAGTCCATTCAAAAGGGATCCACTTGCTGCAAACAGGACGAGAATAATGATTGATTATAACGGCGATCAGCATTTGTGAATCAAATCAAATCAATAAAGTAAAACATCGAACCTTTCATATTCAAACGAATACAATAAAAAACACCAACTACATATTCAACTCAGATTACTATTTCAAGAATACTGAAACAGAACAAAAAGATCCTTAAACGAATTCAACTTAATCTAATCCCACCTCTGAGAAGCGACAGTGCAGCCGTTTCCATTTGTTGCCCTTTGGATTGCGCTGATTCGAGAACAGGAATCAACGAAATTAATCGATCAAAATATGGCAACAATTCTTTACCACACCTGTCGCAAATATTCTCCAATGCTTCACAAGCCACTTTCACAAATACAACATTCTGAGCTTTATCCAGCAACCACACTATGCATGCATCTGCAAATACTCATCGTTCAACAAATAACTTTGCTTTGAACAATACTCTAAGAAAGCCATAAAAAAGAATATCACTCAATAACGCAACAATCTAAACACGAGCACAGCTGATCATTATCACCAGTATTAAAAAATTACAATATGAAACAAATCAATTGAATGTTCAGTTTTATTTAACCTTCAGCAAGCGATACGATCATGTAAGGAATGAACCTAAAATAAGGAACCTCAAGTATAATCGAAGGAGAGATAAACGAGAATGATGAGAACGCTAAGTTATAACCTTGAAAATTTTTGTTTTCTTGTAACCAATCGACAAGGTTCCCAATTAGCTGAATCGATGTGAACACAACGGCTGGATGAATTTCGTTTGGTAGATGGAGTACCGACTCCACCAAACAAGGTACAATTGTCTCTTCTGACCTGAAATACCACACTTATTTCAATGAATGGAAGCGTTACTGGGTTAAGTGATTCAGTTGTTCAATAGAGATAATGTTTTCTGTCTATGGGACAGAGTAACATGTAGAGAAAAGATAATTTATACATTGAGAAAGCAAAAATGAACATACGAAAGAACATTATGCACAACAATCGAAATCACATAAAGTGCAGCTTCCATTTCATCCCAAGTTCCATCGCTAACTGACTGCAGAACAGCCATCATCTGAAGTAGAAGTAGCTGAATTTCACAACGCTCTACACCAATATTAAAATTTGCAATATGACAATAATTCATCTAACAACTACTGACTGTAGTACGTGCCTGCCAATGAACTTCTTAACAAAAAAACTGACTGAACAAGACAACAAAGAACAATTATTAAAACAAACACTTTTGATGCAATGATCCGTCCCAATAATGAAAACAACATCCTTAATTGTGTCCGATACTTTCAGCCGAAACTCAGCAAAGTCGTCATTCTCACCCGGTATGCCCTCGTAATCCGAATCAATACGACAATGCTTGTACAAAGCCATTATGTACCTTAAAAGGATTTTATTGTTATCGCTCATATTATATGAGCTAAAACCAAAATCCCTCAACTTCTGAATACCGAAATAAAACTGGTATATGAAAAAATAAATAAATAAAAAATTCATAAACCTTTCAATGTAAGGTTTAAATGTGAAAATCAAGTCGTCATCGTTCCTTTCATAGAGATATTCTGAGAGACGATACCAAAAATTGAATGTCATTTCCACCAACTGAACAAAACACGAATTAGCTGGATGATCCCGAGAAACTGTATCACCGCAAGGTTGAAGAAGTAAAACATAATACAATAAGAAAGCCAACAAGCTCCAATTTTGATTACCTGATGAAGCAACAAGTAATGGGAATAGAACTGTATGAACAAACCGAATAGTCATGATATCCAGCCAGTAGAAGAAGCATTTCCAATGACTTCAAATCACCGAGATCAACACCTGGTGTACTCACCATCGGTTGCAATAACGACTCATTCAATTCACTGAATACTCGTGCATAGCTTTGAAGCCTGTAAGTAGACCGTTTAATTAAACGTAACAAGACCAGACACAAACAAGATATTGATGTAAAGAGTTTTCATATCAATTCGTATTCCACGCAAGTAATTTTAGAAAAATAAAACTAGTATAGAAAGATGAATAAATTAATACTTTTCACAGTCTTCGTGTGCTACAGCCATATTGAAGCCATTTGCCATCTTATAGCAAGCCATCTGAAGTGAAAGTGCTAATGCACGGTGAACGTCCGTATCCTCAGCACGATACAACGCTGATACGATACACTCACACGCTGCATCATGAAGTTCTGATGGTGAATCGGCATTTTCCTGCATGATTATTCGCTCCCATGACTACATTAAAAATCGGAACGGAAATGTCCAGCTAAAGATAATGCTGACTGTAATGAGAATCATATCAAATTAACAACTAACCAATAACATATAAATGGATTGCAAAAGCTGACTGCAAGCTAATTCATCAGTGGGTACCAATGGATTCAGAAGCCAAGATGACAGACAATTCAGCACTCTCCTTACAATGTTCACATCATTTGCATTCTTTACGCACACATCACTCTTAATGTTCAATGAACGTTTTAGTAACAATCAAATATCAAATTTCAATACCACTTAAGTAGAGGATGAAAGAATTTCACGATGTTAAAAAGGTAATCTCGGTCAAAAGATATTCAGTACAACCAAATGTGTTCGATAAATAACAGACTGTACATCTAGAATCTATGACTGCATTGTGAAAGAAAAAATCGTTTACCAAAAAGATTAAAACAGCATGCGTTTGATGTGCAAGCTCAGCATTCACTGCACGACGTCTGTTCTCACCAACACGTAAATGTCGACTCTGAATCTCCTCCGGAAATACTTTTAAAAGATTCAAAAGTACTGGTGTTTTATCATCAGACATGTTTGTGAATCTAAAACAAACAAGGATTAAGAAGCGAGCACATGCTCGAGGAAAGCGTTCAACATCAATAAATTAAGACAAACTTGTCGAGAATTTCGGCGACGAAATTCGTCCACTCAGGCACTTGCAGGTAGAGATCGACTAATGCAAGGCACAACTGCATGATGATCACTCCATTCTTCTCGATTGGATAACACTCAAAATTACTGAAACCCATAATGTGCTCTTGGATGTACTACCGTTGACTTTCAGTATGATATGACACTTAGAATGAATCAGATAAAGGATAAAATTTATTAACCTGAGATGATTAATTAAAGATTCATGAAGTGATTTGTGTGATGTGGGCGGCAATTCACGCATACTGTGCAGCAACTTTTGGCGCATTGTTTGCGCAGCAAAGTAGCATGCATTCTGATCCTTGCGTTCAGCCAAGATCCGATCGCATATTGACCACGCGCACACCTCAAATAAAAGCAATGCTCCTTTCGAATCAAACTGTGCACAAGGCAAATATAAGAAACGAACCGATTTTTGGAATTCGCCCAGCCAAACACTCGCTTTGCCACATGCATTACTTTCTTGCCCGTTGAGTATTGCAATCGCTTGATAAACTGTATCAATATTGTCCATTGCCTTCCTTGAATTCCATCAAGTTCAATTCATCACATAACCCCAACAGCTCTGCATCAACTACACGCAAATGTTCTTAAGAAATCGTCAAAATTCAATGCACTGCAGCATTGTTGGTCATCAAATCGATCGACAATTACAAGAAAAATGTTACGGGTGACAGAATAACAATTCGGTCGATTGAATCGTCTGTTTCTCAAAAACAAAATGTAGTGCCCTAAAGGCCAACGGTTTATCGAGCAACCGAATAGCATCAACGCTTACACACAGCTTGTATCGAATATATGCATATTTTTTATTCCCTTACATTCTCAAAGACAATATTCATCAACGTATCAATGAACAATACATAAGATTTACAAAACAATAGAAAAACTAATCAATTACAACTATAAATTGAATGTATAAACGAAAAGCAAAATTCTAAACATGTCATATACAATCGATTACGAGAATCATAAATGAACATTCCACCGATGAAGAAAAAACAATCAATGCGCCCAAGCCTAAGACTTTCAAATGATATTGATTAACATATTTATTACAGAAAGAAACCTCGCGGACAAAATCAATGCAAATTACAGAAGATAATCAAAATAAAAACACACACTCAAAAGAATACTATCGAAGAGTTTAAGTCAACTGATTTTTTAGAACGAAAACTTGCATGAAAAATTTTCTCTTAAGTCTTACGATCGAGCAGTTGACTGTTAACGTTCAGCACTTGACTGCTAATCAATACAATTCACTTCAGCAGAGAAAAAACATGAACACTTTAATGAAGATGTTGATAATAATGAAAATGAAGAGGAAATCGCAAAGAATATGAGAAAGAGAGAAGTGATGTTTTATATGGAATTCTTTTTTTTAAAATTTAATCTACCATTTATTATATTGCTATAGTGAAGAGAGAAGAATAATTCACTCAAGTCGTTGAAAATTTCACGTAAAATTTATTCGCAATTGCAATAGATATGGTGACATAAATTTGATTTTTTCCCTTTTCTATTGTATGCAGCAGTCATTTTGACAACTGAATAGATTTGTGAAAAAGAATTACTGAGAACTAACAACGCATACTAAATCAACAGCAAAAAAGCATTATTAAAGTATGATTGGTACAACAGAAAGTCATCACTTCTATCGATTTGAGTGAGTGATGAGTTGCGATATCATCTGAAAACATCGAATATGCGAAAACTGTAATGTGCCAAGATGAAGAACGTCTATAGACTGCAATATAAAAGAAAAATTCGACTACTCAACAACGCTCAAAAAATATGTCCGTTCATTTCGCTAAAAAATCGAGCAAAACTTTTGATCTCGCGGAAAGGAGATATCATTTAATATTTGGTTTTGACCCAACTGAACGGTGAAATTCTAGTAAAAAATTCTCCTAAGCACAATGTGAACTGCCAATAGTCGAAGCCAACAACAGAATGATAAATTCAATATGCGGTGAAAACAAATGCACGCAGAGGATTTCGAGAATGTTTCATCTCTACTAGATTGTGACGACACATATTGTTAATGCAAATGCAAATAATCTGCTAATTGTAAATGTTACAACTGATCATTCTTGAGGCGTTTAACCTTGAGGTATACCATGAGACTATTGTAAAGAAACCTTGAACGAAACGAAGCTCGTTATACGATGTCGTTTTAGTTATTTAACGAAAGCCCTTCGTCAAACTTTCTTTTTCGATAACCAATTTTGGCGCTGGATATAAACTACTCACTGCAGCTTGACGTTGCAATGTATGTAACAGCTCTTCGGCCTTCTGAAAATAATGAATGATACAATGAACAACACATTCATCGCAATAATACTTGAACATTGGGAATGTATTTTTTGTGGAATTAATAAGATCAACAAATCATGCCGCACGAATTGATTTTGATAATGAAGGTGATCCTGAGTAGCACATAGCAGAGTCATATAAATATGTACGTAAAATATCACCTTGTATTGGCTTGGCTCAGGCATTCGGCCATTAGCGCTGAATACGCCAAAATGATCATGAATTCGTCGTTGGAAAAATTCACGGTAATAGTACTGTGGAAACTGAAAAAAGTGATGCACACATAAGTGCTGTATCCTAACAAAGCTCCTTTCAAAAATATCATTATAACCTATAAGGAATCTAACTTTTCCCTCACACTTCTCAAAAGATCAAAGTTGGTCACATGAATTAAACAACGAAATGGACTGGAATAGAACTTAGTTGAGCATATTTCCTATCGATACGCAACAGGTAAAACGTAGAATTCGTCAATTTGTTGACAGTAGAAGTTTTATTTTCTCAAGCTGAATGGAATTTCTTTGCAAACAATACCCGATGAGCGTATGTTTGCAAGTGAAAAAACTACCGAAGGCGACGAAGTGACTCAAAAACGAAATTCACCTTCGCAGCAGCGTTTTGCAGATCCTTGTACAATTTAATCCATGCTTCTCTTGAAACGGCTGCCATTACTATAGAAGAACTGAAGAAGCAGCATTTCTTTTTTCGAAATTAAGACAACGACAACAAAATATGAGTGATATTCTCAATCATTTCTAAACTAGTGGAACGAAAAAAAAATTTATGTTAAACAATTGATCGCCAAAGTTTGGGATGAATTCTTTTTTAAACAAAAAGCATTGCACGTACGGTACGTACACGAAATCACTGGATCGAAACGAAAACCTCTGACTAGACCACAATAAAACTAAATCCGATACCGATTTGCATAAACGGTTCATCGAAAAACTCAGGCAATACATTCGCCAATCTAGGGAGAGAGTTTAGGACAACCGTCAGAGCGACAGAGAAACAGAATAAGCAAGTTTTCGCTGAGAGCCGTCGTGAAATGAGGAGTCATGAAATGAAATTACCGTATAATGGAAGGAAGTCTTACTGGCAGCAATCAATGTACACATCTCGCAAAGTATGGGAGATTCTGTCAGACTCTGTTCGTAAGTCTTGCAAAAGTTTTTTTTTTCAAAAGTCAGCTCTCCAATAGACCTCCGCTTTCATTTCTTAGGAGATCGGCTCAATAGGCGTTGTTTGCTTTGGCCACTCAAGAACACATATTCAAGATCCAAGGCAGGAAATTTGATCAAACCAATCACTTTTTCCCCTTGATAGTAAGATAATGGTTAATGCATATGGCGTTGGAGCGTATATCTTGTAGCCAATTTTACATTTATAGTTGGATAACTTGAGAGCAAGTCATATATAGCAAGAAATAGTTAATCAGTTTGTGTTTACACGAACATCTGTCGTCACTTACTTGATGCTCTTTTTGAAGCACCGTTAGTGAATTACTTTTTCAATGCATGATTAAAAATCTGTGTTCACTTAATGTAATGCCAAGGTACTTCATAAGAATCAACGGTGAATGAACTCACCGTATCAGAATAACTTTTAAAGTTGGATATTAACTTGGTAGCTATTGTAATATGAGGACTGGAAAACGGGACCTTGCCGTTAAGGAACGGAACAGAGCCATCATTTGGTATTTCTGCTTCTTCTTTACAGTTTCATCACCATTTAACACGTTGCTCTCGAAAATGCTTCGAAATCAAGTAACAAAACGATTCACCTTCTGGTTAATCGTTTACTATTCACTACACCGACTCATAAACCTACCTCTATGCAAGCGAATCTTCTCAGCACAGTATCACTCATGGGCAGAATAACATCACAAGGAAGAATATATTAGTTGCTGATAGAAAATTGCTAGTTCCTGAGGTTTACCACAAGATGGTGGTCATTCCGTTATGTGTGAGCCACACTGAGTGAATATTTATTCTCCTCAAACAATTGTCCACTCATCAGAACTCATCATCGGGATCATTTTGGCGCACGTATAAGGAACCGTTTAATCATCATCGTTCTCAGTTGACATGTTGTATTCACTCTCATAGCTATTACATAAGAATATCGTCCTCTTGATGAGTTTTTCTCATTCACTTCGTCTCATTTCACTTAACAGCTGAAATCAATTTCTTATTTTGTAGCATGTACTATTTACTGGATACATTGACGAGTGTTAACAGCCGAAATCAACAATACAACAATCGAATATTATTGCTAAACAACATTCGACAGTCAAATGATCAATTATAGAGTGTATTTGATGGAACGAGAATTTGACTTTGAGTGAAATGAATGAGAAATTAGCAAAAGAGAACACTTTTCGTGATAAAAGCTATGAGTATGATTGTAGCAGGAAGGAAAAGAATGAAAACTCTGTTAAAAGAAATGAGAACCCTGTTAGGCCCGGATGAACTAATGATACTCAGAAAATAGGATGGTGTTCTATCATAACATAAAACTGCACGAAATACTAATTTTCCGACCCTCTCCATTGCCCGTTGACACCTTTAAATTACCCAAAATGGGTAATTTCACCCCTTATGAGAACCACTAGTACAGTCCCTCAATCACTGAGATATCTAAATACATATTTGTGCCGCAAAACTGCACTAAATTGGAATCTATCGAGCTCTTGTGAGCGATTCGAAAGAGCATCTGTATTAGGTGGTTCAGGTGTAGAGGTGGGTTCTGCAGTTGTCGAATCCGATATAGAGTTGGATTTTGTAGTAATGGGTTCAGATGTTGTGATTGATTCTGTAGTTATTAGTTCAGATATGGAGGTGGATTCTATTTTTATAATGTTTCTCATATTCATTTCAAAAATGCGTGTTCACCAATGAAATCTTTCAATCATCTAGTGGTGTAATGGGGTTTCTAGAGTAGGCAATAGCGATAGCGCTTCGTTATCGATTCGGTAGGTTATAGCAACTTCTTTTGGATAGCGGAATAGCGATAGCGCGCCCAACATTGAAATTATTGCCTTTCACGACCTTTGCCATAGATTCATATCATCCAACTTTTATTGCTGAAATTCATACAAAACGTAAAGCACCGCATCAACTGATTGTGAGTTCAAGCCACAGACACTCCCAAAGACACTTCACGATCAATATTCACTGAACGAATTCAAGTTCTTTCTCACGGATGTCTTCATTCATCGATAATTTTTAAATAATTTTTTTGCTTTTTATAAACTCTGTACAAAATGTCTTCATTATTTCACTTAACGATTGCTTTCATCCTAATTTTAATTGCTCTACTTACGTATCACATTAAATGAACACCTTATTCCCATTGATATAAATCATCCTAATAAACAGTGACGAAACGAGGCGAAACTGTTTCCTAACACATATTTACATTAATTATTTAATTACTGAATTGTGGAGACGTGAAAAGACAATATGATAGGAATGTATTGAGTTGTTCAAAAGTGCAAACGAAAACAAAAGAACTCTATTTTATTATACACGAGTGCAAGTACAAATTTTATAATTCAGCAATCGATATAAGATTTAGTTTTATCCTCTTCGCTTGTCGTGTGTGGATTGTAGAATTTCTGACCGCAATATCCACAAGCATGAGTACCGGGTTTATCCTGAAAATCAAAACATTCCCAAAAATACTGAAATTCACACTTTACTGAGTGGAATAATGGAAATACATCTGAATACAACCATATCAAAACAACATCGAACAATTTGCAAAATAAAGCAAAATGTACGAGATTGATGTAAACACGAGGATGTCCAAGTGCAGGATGGCCTCCGTCGCAAAACACCACATGTTCGTTGGATGCAATCGGAGGCACTTCGGCAATCAATTTTTGGGCAATATTAGGATTGACCTGTTTTGGTGCTATCTCAAAACGCTGGAGTCTGTAGTCAGTCTGATCCCATGCCTTTAAAAAGCTCATAGATGATATACATTAATTCAATCATTACATATTCCCTTGTTCATGCTTGGATTCAACCTTTGTACGCTTTTTTTTACTCACTGAATACTGTTAAGTGTGAGCAAACAATCAACATTCATTTGTAACAGGTACACATCAAGGAACAACAATTGAGAATAACAGCAATTCTCATGACCTGAATCAGAAGTATCATCAAAAAACGAAAAGTGATCAACATATTTGTATCACCTTTATAAAACCTGGTAATACTAAAAGTTCGCTTTAAAATGCTGTTATTCAGAAGCAACTTGATGTATTCACTCCTAACTAGGCACAACTACTGCTAAAGTAACAGGAAACTTTCGAGAACGAGTAACCAATCATATTTTGCTCTTCGCTGTCACAAGACGTTAAATATTGCTTACTCCAGTCAATCTAGGAAATATTCATGAGGAATGCGAACCAATTAAGTTTTTAATGAAATCAGGCTGAAAGACAAATCCGATTATTGCTGCTTTCCATAGAACTTACGGGAAAAACACCTCCAATGAACAAATGTTCATTGGAGGGTCGCAAGTATTTAGACTTAACGAAAATATGATCGAGGACAACGAAGACCGTCATCGATGATCAACTGTAAAAACTTCGCCACAGCCCAAAAGCGAAGTTGCAGATTCATTGTATAATAATCGTACAATATTTTTGAATCACCCATGAATGAATGGATAATATCGGAATGGAAGAAATGAAAGTGCAAACCTGTCCCGTATGAGTAACCTTATCGAATACAGCATTTTTCTCGGTTACTTCCTTGCGAGCTGGAACGTTAGATTTGGCACGTTTAATCACGTTGAAATTTCTTGAAAAACGACTAGCCAATAACCGGTACATAACGATCACTAAAACCGTATAAGAATAAGCATTGACTGTGGTAAAATAAACTGCACCTTTTTTTACAATACAAACAACTAATATTATAAAGAGACAGGAAAACGTCTGATACTAACAGATGAAATATGGAATAAAATTTTGCTGGCAGCTCAAGTAATAGACGTCATTTCGGATCGCTGTTATTTACCAGCTAATTTACTTGCAAACACTGATAAAGTACGTCGTATACGAGGTGGGAATCGTGAATGACGATTTCCTTTCAAGTTATTCAGATGAAAAAGAACTGGAAATCTGAGGTAGCCGTTCGAAAACATAATTTTTCATCGGACATCAGAAGCAAAACTGCAGATTTTATGTATTTTAGTGTAGCATTATATATGGGTGTATTTTAGTCTTATTCGCGTGAATTAGGCTCGAGTTTGGGTTCAGTGTTGTTTTAAAGCTACGGCTTAGACTTTCGGGAAGCTGAAATACACTTGCGTGCGTATTGCTATAACCTTACGAGATTTACAGGTTGCCTGCTAAAATTTTGACGAATCTTTGGAATTAACATAAGCCTTCAATCCAAAAAGTTTTTTCCATCTCCCTTGAGCATGGTTCCGATGCAACTGATCGACTCAGAGCTCTTTATATTAACCCTCTCGTACACCAACCAAGAAATAAATCGAATCAGCTTCACGTGACCGTCCTTGACAAGGCAAGAAACGCCTCAAGTAAGAAATCCCAGGCCGATCACGTACAACACTAGACTTGATCAACACACATCTTAAGAGTCTATGTCACGTCTCTTCAAATCTATTGCGAACTGTCGAATTTGTTGCATGTTGAAGCACTAAATATTTATCAGTTGATAACTAATGGGTTACCTTTCAACCCTTTCATGCTATAAATTATACGAATCCGGTATACAGAAGTGAATGAAGCAAACAGTTGAAAATGAACAAACCTGTGGGATGCAAATTAGAACGCAGAAAAGTGAAATGCCATATAATATTTTAAAGACTTGTGGTCGTAAGCCGCAAAGTGCGAGGATGCAAGCGATTTGAAAGCAGCATGTGTCACAAATGTGGGTAGTTTAACACGAGGAACGTGTAATTGGAATATCGAAATAACAAAGAAAGAATTTCATAGCAGGTGATTACGTGCTTTTTCTGTTAATCAAAGGATGAGCCTGATAATTCAGGTGTTTTAAGATGCAACCTTTTGGTATGTTTTGATGATACATATCATTTTCTTGACAATCATTTTCTTGACAAATAAGGCTGTAATATTTTATGATCATCTGGTAGCGGGTTACTCACAATCAAATCGTCGGCTGAATAGCTGATCTAAAGCAAAACAGGAGCGTTGAAGCATACTTCAACTGCCTGGTGATGTTCTTGTTCCACACTTCCGGCAAACAGCTCCATTCTGCTCTATTTCACCGTTCGGTTGTTCTGTTCCGTTTTGTTCTTCGCGTCCTTTCTGAAACTGTTTTCTGGAATAGAAACATCGATGTGTAGATGATCATAGGTCATGTTCAGGTGACATGAGACTTTATTCTATTTGACGTTGTGATTTTTATTTGTATCCATCTTGAAGCACAAGACTTCGAGTTTTTGGAAATGATATATTATGCCGTTTCGAATTCATCAGCATGAGAAATACCTGAAAACGGCACATTACTCTAGATTATTGACAACTCTATTCCACACTTTTGGCTCACTGTTCTGTTCCGCCCTTCAAGTGTTCCGTTCCACTCTATTCTTCGCGTCTCTTTTTCTGGAACTGTTTTCTCTTCCATTCTAAGGAATAGAACAGGATGGAACAGTTTGACTGGAAGAGAAGCATTCCTAGAGTTGCCATAACTGGATGTTCCATTCGGGATCATCATCACGATCATGTCTGATCAACAAAACTGTAAAATCTTGTAATCACCGAAACGGGCATAACCAAAACCATCTGAATATAACTTGGGCATACATGTAGCTTGAAAGTCATGTTCCCGGTATATCCATACTAGTGAATCCTTGACCAACATTGAGATCAAATTTAACGAGGTTCACGACAACATGAAATCATTTACCTACATAAGTTATGTCTATAAATTTAGCTGTATCTGTGCAGTTAAGCACTATTCGTCAATAACACATGTTCTTGTCTGATAGGGAAGAATTTGTTATATGAGCATTTTTCGTAAATACAGCTTTGCAGCTTCTCATGGGGACCTTATATGAAACAGTTGTTTCTTTGTGCATTTTGAATTTGAAAGATAACGAACGCATTATTAATTGTGGCTTCTGAGCATACTGACAGCTACGATTCCGTATTACTGTTTTATAACAGATCAAGCGTGTAACCCATTTTCATGATTATACAGCCTTCTGGCTACTTCATGAATGAATTTATCAAATCAATTCGTGGAATGAGGAAACTTCAATAATGAAACTATGTTCATGTCATTCAAGATCTATGGATGAAAAAAATAATGATGTGTTGATATGTGAATACAGGCTGTTTTAAAATTCAGAATGTATGAAGGTCATCTGATATTTGACAACAGATCATATTGATGGCATCTTTATGTTACATGATTGCATTCAACTACAACTCTACAATATGAAAATTCCAATGCAGAACCTTTATATTAATAGTAAGTGTGGATGTGAACGCCACACTTTCACTGTTTCTGTTAGCTGAGGAATGTTTTAAGGATCGGTATATCATAATATATTACGATATACCGATATTTATCATCTGCCGAGCGGATTATTTTTGTGAGCATAACTACGAGAGTAGTGCATTGAACTTTTCACTTTCGTATTCTTAATCGTTGGTATTTTACGTGTTATTTATTGAACGTTGTCTGAAAGTACGGATAGATAAATATGAAAAAAACTTATATATAATACTGATAATAATAAATTATAGGCATTTATAATTATAGATCGGAGATAAATTTAAAAAATATCTATTAATTTATTTATCAGATAGTTAAGATGATCGAAGTTCAACAAACCGCCCATCAAAGTACATCATTTAAATAAATGAAATGTTTACATCAAACCGTCTCACTCGATGTTTTATGATTCCTTGCTACCAACTATGACAATAACAAATTCATTCGAAAATAGAATGAAATAAAAGTGATGCAATAATAATGACATCAATAGTAATAAAAATAATGAATAATAACACTGATTAATAATAACGACAATTAATAACAACAATAATTAATAACAGTAATTAGTAACAATAATAATAACTAGTAATAATAGTAAAATATTAGGTCGTAAAATTTGCTTTTGCGGTTTCTGCGGGATGTTCTGTTTTCCAATCGATACTGCAGACGCCACTCACGTTCATACCTATTGTTTAGGTGCTTTTTAAAGGTCACCACTCCATGTTGCGTATTTCAAAAAAAAGAACTGAAAATTTTCGATTTTAGGCTATTTTACAAGTGTTTGAATAAACCATGCAAAAACAGTATTTTCGCTTAATTTCGATTCGTGACTACCGCCTAAGGCTGTCTGCAGCAGAATCCACTCAATCAGGTTTCCGGACAGAATACGGAGAAGGAACGGAACGTACGGCACGAAATTGGTTTGCAAGGATGAGAGACTCGACGATTACCATGTCGGAGGGCCACCTGCAACATGTAACGACGACCGCCTCAGGGCACTCGTGGAGGCAAATCCACGTAGAACAACTCGAGAATTAGCTACGGAACTCGGAGTTGTCAAAACGACCCTTAGCAACCATCTCCATCCGACTGGAAAGGTGAAAAAGATGGACAAATGGGTTCCACATGAAGTTAGCGAACAACAGCAAAATTAGCCCATGGAAATTCGTGTTTCTCTGCTCATTCGTCGAAAACTGGAACATTTTCTGGATCGTTTGATTACACGTGAGGAAAAGTAGATCCTATACGACAATCGTAGACGTTCGCCACAATGGCTTGATAAGGATGAGTCCCTGAAATTCATGGCAGATCCATCCTTGCATACGAAAAAGGCTATGGTGACAGCTTGGTGGACAATTGTTACAACTTCCTAGAACCGGCTCAAGCGATAGCAGCACAATCGTATTGTAACGAATCGGAAGTGGTTTCCCAGAAATTTTTTAAAAGTGGTACACTTTTTTAAGCAAAAATTTGGTCAATTTCCGTGACCAGGAAGACTCCATTCCTGCCGCACGACACGCTCGCTCACACATTTCCAGAATCACTATCAGTAAAGAGCAGGAACTGGGCTGGGAAACTCACCTTAAGTCGTCATATTCATCCGACTTGTCCTCCACCGATTACCACTTTTTCAAGCATCTTCATCACTTACTGGGCAAGAAACAGTTCGGAAATCAAGATACTATCAAAACGATGTTCAAGGATTTCATCGCATCCAGAAATCCGTAATTCTATTGTAAAGGAATATACGACCTTATTTTTAGACAGCCAAAATATGTTGATTGTAATGGTGCTTATTTCTAATGAAAAGGTTGAGTGTGAAGGAAGTTAACATTTCGAAATTTTCGTACGCAAACCGCAGAAGCAAATTTTACAACCTAATAATAACAATTTTAATTTCAGTTTTGTACTTGTTGAAGAATTCACAAGTTGACGAATGCGATTAATCGTAATAGTGTGCAAGCAAATGATCAGTTTGCGCTGTAGTTCGGAATGATCTCATTTATCGAGATGATACGTTCAAATCAACGAAGCATTATTCTCAATCATTCATGCACAATATGATTGTTATTTCTAGCATGCAGAAAGCAACCGATAAATGTACAACGAATCCACAATAACAGTGTTTGATCATTTAGGGGGTCACTCCGAATGTTTTCAAGACTCTTGCTGATGTAATTGACAAATGTAACCAAAAGACATGCAAAAAACTGAGCGAAATCAATTTGCTTCTTCGCTATAAATCGATTGTAAAAGAACTTTTGAATGCCCCTTGTTTGTGACACTTTTGAAACGTTTTTGTAATACATGTAAATATCAATCATTTCATTTGTTTCTCTTTGTCAACGTGCATCTAAAGAACGACTCACGTCAGATGACTGAGTTCGAATGTAAATAAAAGTCGAGAATTCCTACTCGATAAGTTGACATGGAATGGGTTCGAACGTTTTGTTCAATCACGTTTGCATTAAAGGCTCGTAATGCTCGTGCTCACTGTTGATCTATCACTGCTTGCTTCCAGTACTTTTATTTATTGCATTCATGTTTGCATGTGCATCCACTCAATTGAATTTCATTCAAATAATCCCTTATATCTTTCTGCTTGTTGCTGTTCTCTAGTGAATATGTGATTTATTTAGTTCATATGTTAGTAGTCTGTTGTGTTCGCTGTGTGAATTGAGATTAATTAAACATATCACGATTAATTCTTGGCATGATTACCATTATGAGATGAGAAGTAATTCCGATTACTTCATTTCTTAATAAATTTCATAAGAAAATCCAGATCTTCACCACCAAGAAACATCGTTTCGTTCGCTGATCCGTTATTCACCCTTGCATCCACCTCAACCACAACCTAATATTATTTTTCGACATCTAGTTTGTGAAAACTATCTGAGAGATGTCGAAAGACCGAGAGATGCAAAGATGAATACGAATAGCCAGAATGTGCACGATGGCAATCCGGTTGACAGGCTTGCATCGAATGAGACTCAGCAGATAGGCATACGCAATGAAGATATTCGGATGGTGGGGATGAGCAGGCATTTAGACGATATGTGCATTAGACACCGAAAATCATTATCGACGTTAGAACACGCGCGTATCATATTCATTCTTTGTTGTTGTTGTTAAGGAAGTAGTCACGCGTGTGGTCCGTGTGGGTTGCGATGCGGTGCGTTGCGTATGGTTGTGAAACTTTACAACGTTATTTATGTGATGTGGCGAATTAGATTTTGATGATGTGTACATGGTTAGATTGACGTATTTTTGTTCGTGGCAGTTATCAGTAACTGTCACGAGATCTGATATTCGTACTCACTCGGGTGATTCACGCCTGATGCGATCCGCACTGCTCGCTAAATTATATCAGGCAGGACTATAAATATTTCGTATTGATGTGTAATACCACTGCAATGTCGAATATAGCGTTGTCTATAAATAAGCTTCTAACGATCGTCATCATGATTAGTTCCATTGATGAGTAACATTATGATCGTTTCGGTTTAAATCTATATTTATGTATTTGTCGACGAACTGTTTTCGCTCACCGTTTTACACTGTATTCTACCAATATATGCATTTGGTGAGTGTTCTCCTGGAGCACTGCAGTACCGTCGAAGTGTTTGTGTTGTTTAAGCACATCTGAAAATGTTTTTTGGAAGTGTACGGGAGTTATGATTCATGATGGTCAGTGGACAGTAGTGTTGAATATAATGAACTTCATTAGTGTTGAATATAAACTTATAATGTCGTTCTGAGAGTAAAATGAGGATGTCTGATTTGTTGATATTACGTCTGCATGCTTAGTACGGTCGGCCGCTGACTGATGCTGATACTAACCCGTACGTCAGTGGTTCTCATAGGGCGAATCCTTCATTAAAGGGAATTTGAGGGTAACAGAAGGGGAGATTGGCAAGTTAATGCTAGCTGATTTTTTTCATGATTCTTCTATACTTGACTCAGCGAGTTTTTTTAAATGCTTGTTTCAGTGCAAATAATTGATCGCGTATTAACAATGAATTCGAAACTGTAATCTTGTCGATCATTTTTTCTGCTTTTCGTTATGATTAGATTGATTTCTCGACTTTTTCTATAAAGGTGGATTGGGAGGATGTGATATCGTAATTTGTCTAACTTGGTCGAGTTTGAAGAAATGCTCAAATTTTACAATGAGATGGAATACCAAAGATGAATGTTTTATGTATGTTGCAGTTAACATTCGAGTAATGTTTTGCTATTTTCACTGAGTTTTTATTATGACCGTAATATTCATATTCACTTATAAACACATATTGTAAGTTCTAAAATTTATGCTTTCAAACTTCGAAGTGATTTCTTTTTATCTGACCTTATGAAATAATGGAACAAACAAATTATCTGGGAGTGATTATGGAAAGGCATGTGTCGTTTCTGACAAAGTACAGGTAAAGCAACAGTGGTAAATTAACAAACTCACCAATGATGACAGTACTATTTTCGGTATCGGTCCACATCTAAATGGAACAATAATATGCTGTCATTACAGTTTATTGTATTGCCTGAAATGTTGTCAGTAAATGCAACGAAAAGGAAAACTTCCTTGTTGCAAAGGAACTTTGCAAAAAACGATTCTTTAAGATGAGATATTTGTCGAAATTGATTTTCAACCAGCAATTAAGAGTGTTGTAAGTATTGTTCCTACATTGCCCGGGAAGAGTTTGAAGCATATTCATCCGATTCATTTCACCCATAACTCATCGTTTCGCATCCTATCCAGTTCGATTAACATTTCCTATTAGGATGTTATATTTTCTTGCCAGTTTGTGTTTGGTTAATTCAAATATTGTCTTACGATCAACTTTCAGTTTCTTTTCATCTAACTGCTCTTTTAATAACATTTCGTTTTACTTGTTGTTCATTTAACAATAGATCTATTTGTAATTTATTGTCTGTACGCAGTGTATTGTTTCTGTGCTTCGGATATTATAGGAAAAACTGAATATAGTAAATGTTTTTTTTTGCAGACGTGTTAAGAGCCAAGTTTAACTAAGGCACAAAGAACGGAATGTCGCCGCATCAATCGTTTCGGCATACGACTAGTTTCCCGTTCGGACTTCCTTCACCTGCTTCACTAATATCTCCTGACACAGGGCCAAATAGTGCATATCAAATGCAACAGGTTGCTCTTCTGAATTTCATCTTTCATGCAATCGGCTTGTCGTGCATATAATTGTCATGAACAACTTTCATTCCCAACATTAAAATCATCACCCAGAAGTTTCCTGTATAATGCGTAATAATCAAAATAGACGACCCTAAGTCTATTTTCAGTCTCAAATTATATCTATTGTATGTTTTATTAGTGTTATCGTCCGACTTCACAGCAAAGTGCTGCATTTCAGAAGCCATTCTTTTTCTTGCCGTCAACACCCAAAAGTTCTCAATCAACAGCATCGTCATGCGCGAATAGTCATCGCCGTCGTTATGCGGGAAATCGACCGCGCTCAGTTGTGCTCTTCCCATCGAACACCGCTCAACCTCATTCACCGTATTTCCCTACTACTCCTACAATTCTAACAAATGGTCATCAGAAGATGATGCTCTCACAAAGTGCTCCAATGGTAGTATCTAATCATGTTCCTCCTCAACAGCAACAATCACATCATCCTCATTTTCATCACTCCTCATCACAGCAATATTCCAAAAAGAATATGAAAAGTAAGTAACGTTCATCATCTTTGGGTTACTATTAAAGAATGTTATATACAATCCCATAAAATAATGAATTCGCATGAGATGAACTATGAGCAGTGGTCTTTTGAGAATGTGTTTACGCAGTGTAGTTGATCACATGCATAATTTCGATTCAATTTATTCTTTGTAAAACAATAATCAGTTTTGATTTAAGACTGTATTACTCAACAGCAACAGTACCAACAACAGCGTCAAAGACCACTTTCTGAGTCCCGTGGAGGCTCACCGGTGAATTGCTTTGCGGGTGCAAAGTTTAGCGAATCGCCGAAAGCACAGCTCATCCCCTTACCTCCCATGCAATGGCTTACAGATGCCTCCGATAGTGGTTAGTATTCAGTTGTTCTGTTTTGAAAACTATTCATATTCTTCATCAGTTCTCACGGCTGGAATTATTGTTATTTCGGAAGCAAGATGTGGAAAATTTTAGAAACGACTACTGACCAAAATTCGGATAGCTCGGACAGCAGCTTATCATTTGTGATGCATTCGAAATGTGGTTCTGATGAGTTTTCCGCAGTCCCGTCTATCCCCTCGTCTTCGTTATCGGTGCAGTGTAAAGTAACTGCAACAAGCTCCACTTCGACCTCACCTCAGCAATTATGTCGTCCTGGTCCGATGCGTATGAATCCATTACAATTGATCGCGGCTGTTGCTGCGTCGTAATGAACATAGCCTAGCGGAGCCTGAGCCAATGCGAATGTGTCCTTCTTTTGATCAATCGGGTTTTATCTGTGCATGTTAATTTGAATTGAATTCACTTTCTTATCGACTCTATCGCTTGAATCTATTTCGAAAATTCAATTAATTTGTGATCAAATGATTGAGTGATAATTCGGAGATTAGAGATTATACAATTATCCCAACTTCATTCTTACGAAATGAGAAGAGTGAAAATGGTAGATTGGTTCCATTGAAACTGAAATGTTTTCTAATCATCTTCGATAAGGTATCCTTCCACAATCCTCACGTGTTACTAATTAATGGTCCACTGATTTGTTCAGGAGTTTGACTGCATGTAAGGCAGTTGTATCGAACAATTTAAATTTAATCTCTTGTTTCGTTTGTATTGCACTGAGCGTTTTTTACTTGATGGCAGTCAGTCAGTCTCGCGTGCAACTCATTTTGCGCGATCGATTTGTCGTTTGTATGTCTTCAGACTATGTTATTCAATCGTTCGTTGCTTTATCCCATCTTAATTTCATTATAACTATTCAGTTGCATCGACTTCAAAAGAGTCGTACTGGTGTGTCTTTCCGTTGGTTAATTCAAGCATGTTTTGCTGCTATGTATAGCTTACGATGTGTGTACGTATGGTATGGTTTATATGTATTGCGGTTTGAGGAATAGGGAGCGGAACGCATCATTGCTAGATATTTATTTAGATACGGTTATTTGTTGCGATACTGTTAAAGTTTAATGATTGCAGTTTGTTCAGTTGACCAAAAGCTGTCGGTTCACGTTTCGTTTTGTCCATATGTTAAGGCTTTCTCGATATTCATGTTCATTTTTGCATATTGAACCGATGTAATACTTCGGTCATTTCCGTCGTCAACCGCAATAATGCGTCCCTAAAAGAAATAGCTGATGTTGCAAAAGGTATGTGTAACGTGTAAAAAATTGGGAAGGGACAGTTCTGAGGGAATGAAGAATGAAATTAATTGGAGAAGAAGGTGCGGTTGCTGACTAAGTGGTGCCTTGCGATGCGTTGTTTTACTGCGGTGTTTTTTGCATTGTATATAGAATGATATATGGAATTGATGTGGTGTGACCGCAACGGAACAGCGTTGCGGAGGGCGTGCTCTAGCCGTGATCTCCCCTCTGTTTGTATTTCCCATTCTACCTTCTTTGTACTGAATAATCGTTCTTCTGATTATGGCGCTGTTTATTCGAACTTTCAGGTCAACTACAAACTAACAAATTTCTACTTCTCTTGGATGTGCAGTGGTAGCAATAAGAATTTCGAAAGTTTATGACTGGTAAATTTGTAAGGCAGCGACATATTCAGAAGATTGAACATGTAATTGTTTAAATGTACGCTCATTTCGTTTATTATTGTGCATGTATATATGCATATATTGATTGGTATTTGATTAATGTTGGAGCACACGCTTCTATTATAAAATATGTGGTGGTGATCTCGTAGGTGTTCACTGCCATCAGAAGGTTGTGAATGCTTCATTTCGCTTGCCGTCATCCATCTTGTGTAAGCCTTCTTCCTTCGATCCAATTCTTACTATAATTTCGTCTCAGAAAGCTTCTTTTTTCAGTAATTATTTTGTAATTTAATTGCCATGAATTGTTCAATTCACTTGTTGATTTGCAATCATTTTAACCACTTATTTTAATTTAATGCGCTAACTGATTAACCAAGCAAATCCTACGATGAAACACGTGTCATGAAATTTGGTTACATCGCACATGATTAACTGATAATCATATAGATCTTAATGATCGATTTCATCATTTGGAATTTCTTCCTAGTCCACTGGATTGCATCTCAATTAGTAATGGTAATGCATTTGTTAATCCTCTTGAATTGAGTATGGAATGGATTTTATGAACACAATGCATTATCAACAGTCCTTCTAATGATATTCCTCTTATTCTCTTCTTCATCTACCTGTTATCGAGTGATCGTTCGTAATCACCTTTTTTGATTTCATATTAATCGCTATTTTGTCATACGTATGTAATCGTTGTCCGTATTCACATTTCGAATTTCACGTTCTAAATTTCATCAACTTGATTTGATTCTCTTTCATTTACGAGGAGCTGTTTTTTCCAACCTAACTTCATCGTCATCTCCTAAATTGTTGTTATTTTTAACAGTTGTGTTATGTTTTGAAAAGATTGCCGTCTAAATGAATTTGCCGTTTGTACAGCAATGTTGTGCTCTTGTTTTGTGCATTGATCATCAGTTCTACACATCTTGCACACATTCAGGATTAATATTCGACTCTGAGTCAGTCCACTGAAAATAGCATACGACTGATAATCAGTTAATAGACGTAGCATCAGTCACAGCGTTTATGAAATATTTGTGAAATGTGTGTAAATGTGTTGAAGTTGTTATGTGCAGAACTTGTTGAGACTTTCTTTGATGGATCTCATTTTGTTTGCCTTCCCATTTGAGACGTGTAATCTCTGTATCTTTCTGTGAGCGGTTTTGTGATTGATAGATGGATGAATTGACTGTTTGATTCATAATATATGCAACACAATCGCTACGTTTTTCCTTCTAATCATTATTAGCGTTTCTAAGTTGATTCTTCACAACTTTATCGCTTACATACATGATTTGTTGCTGTCATTTATTACCTGCTCAGCGATTAGTTATGAGATCAGCTCAATCGTTTCTGTGTGGTTATAAGATATAGATATTGAAATTGGAAGGGAGTGGCGATTGCATTGTTTATTTCACTCTTTCTGCCTCCATTTTCATCACGAATGATGGACGGACGTATGATTGCTGTGGATATGTTCAACTGTCAGTCATCTCTTCGAAATGGTACATTGTAAATACATATGATATCAATCTGCAGAAAAATGGCACAATAATTTGCGTTTTGTCTGACTCAAATTTATGTTTGGCAAATAGCAGCTGTATGTAGTCGTTCGCTCCGAGACATTCATTACATTATTATATGGTGGGGAGTATATTGTCGTTTGATGGATACCGGACGACGTCAGGTTTGTGCAGTCCTGGATTTGGCACGGTATCAGCAAGATGCAGGTGCATCTGAGAATGACACAATGCTGTACGATTCATGTTTCGTCGTATTTCTGTTTTATTGATTTGCTTGTATATTTGTATATGTTTATATATACATACAAGAAATATGTTTATTTGTGATCATTTTCAACTTTGTATTTTGATTACTATTTATATTGTAACGGTCGTTTTGTGGAACGGTTTGACACCATTCGCGATCAGTTTAGCGGCATTCATTTCACATGCAATAGACTGGTGTCGCGATATGGGTGGTCGTGTGCGTGTTGTAGAGTTTATTGTATTATTCGATGTCATTGAAACACAGCCGGCTATATCTTACGCTAGGCGTATGCGTATATAGTGGTGTCTGTAACTTTACTAGCTTTTACGTTATAGGATTTACATCATTGGGAACCCCTCTAAAAATTCATTCTATTGTTGATTGATATTATTGCAGGTCACAGTTTTAATTTTAGAATCTGAACCTTTTGCAGATTCAATCCAAAATTTAATCAGAGGGCGTATTTCCTGTCCATTTCCTGTATTTTGGTATTTCTTGCCCCTATAAGATCGTTTTTCCTTTCCTGTATTCGTTAAGTTTTTACAAACCAAAGTACGGTGTGATTGAATTGAACCAAGTTCTATAATAATTCAAGAATTTCCATTTATATGTTCTTTCCCACCCTCTGAATTGTTTCGGTTGAGAATGTCTGGTATCTTAACTTTGGGCATATCTCTAAGGCTCAGTGCATGTATTAGTCGTCTTTTTTTTTTAATAAACAGTTGAGATAATGGTTGGAATCAATAATTGTTATTGTATTCGTTTTAACGGTTGTACGCGCCTCATAACACAGTCGTCATAGTATGATTTTTGTCATTCGCTAAAATTATTGTGATGTTTCATTTGAACCATTTTTGGTCTTCCTAGTCAGCGGAGTGACCGTGACTGAGAATGATCAAATTGAAATATGACAGTACTAACGTTTTCTTCTGTATTTATCTAATGATTTTCCTTGTGGTATGGAATGTTTCATACTTTAGTTTTGGTATGAAGGTTGTTTTTCGGATATATATTTCAGTATGAGAATGAGGTTGAGGATGTTATGAATTCTGTAGCGTGTGCTGTGCTTAAACAATACAGTATGGACGGGTGAGAATGAATGCTGATTTTGTATTTTAATTATAACGTAATTATGTTTTGTTCTGTTTGATTAATTGTTTTTGCTTGATCTTGTCCATGAACAATATTGTATACATTAAGAGTAGATGATTGCAATTGAATGCAATTAAGGAAATGTTACTGGTGTGTAGAAGTTGACTGATTGATAATCGATGATGATAACGTTGTGATATTTGAATTGGTTGGTTGTATTCACATGAGCATAAGAGGGAAAGTGTTTGTGAGGTATGTTGCAGTGTTGTTGCTAATCAATTTGTGCCTAACTTCGTTGCATTCTCTACTCGCTTTGAAATTTCAATTGCATTCGTCTATTTCTTATTAACGGACGCATCAAGCATCAACCAACATCCACTCGAATCGAGCTTCTTCCATCTGCTTTATGCACTTGCTCGTTCTCATTTAATTATATGGATATCGCTCGCATCTCATGATATCTATTCGTGGTGCCTAATTATATTGTAACATCATTGGTGCCGTGCCTGTTGATGATACTGTAATAACTTGAAGTATCATTCGTTATTCTATTTTTTGTTGTGCTTTAACATCACTAAGTACATCTTTACTTTCAAAAGAAATTCACCAATTACCATCTTTTATTGAGTGATTTATAATATTCTCGAAAACTTATTAACAGCTCTCCCCTCTCTCCAGTATTAGTTATACATCATCTATATTATGCAAGCTTCTAAAAATAAGTGAAGAGATTTGTTTAGAGTCCGTCACGTAGTGCCTGATTACCTTAAATTGCGTCATTTCTGACAAATAAATATC